AGAGTAGGCCGGTCGGACCCGCTTATTCGGCTATCTTTAAACGTTAATATCTCGTTAACTATTGCGCAACTTACAAAATGGTATGAGATTTTTCGATTCAATTCGGTCTGTTCTACCTGCTCATGATCGATTAGCCGATAATTTTCAAACACCCTGTATATTACGTAATTATTATTACATAAAGTGTTATATTAAATGATTAATTTAAATCATTTATAAATAATAAAATTTTATTGAAATTGTCTTATTAGTTTTTAAATTTAAAAAATAGTTTAACTAAAAAAATCACGAGAGCGGGAACAAAGGGGACTGCCCCGGGCGTTGCCATCCCTTGTTACGCCACTGTATACAAAGTATACCGAATAATTAAGCTTCAAGGCGTGTTCTTTTGCATATTTTCTAATTTGTTGTGCCAATAGTTTTTGTATTTTAATATTACGCACATTTAACTCTTTGCGTTATCAGTCATATAAATCAATCATTCATACAATATAAATTTTCATTTAAAAGTTAGTGAAGATAGCCAGTTTGAATATTATATACACGCAATATATACTTTTCGTACTTTATCGCTGATATAACGAAGCAAGATGTTATTCATTTGTTTGAAAAACAAAAACAGTTGCTCAGAAAAAGAATAAAGGAATTGTAAGTGAATCGAATTTGAAAATAATCCTAAATAGCACGTTTATTTGATGTCATTTAAAAAGCTAAATATTTTTCTCCAAAAGTTTTAAAGATTTCTGTAAGAAAAAAAGTGTATAAAACATTAATGAAGAAATAAAGAAAATAAAATGAACTATTTTTGTTTATTTCTAATACAATTTTCAATATTGAGAAATATTCATTAAAAAAACTTTTATTTTATCTTTGCAAATAAAAATTGCTTTATCTTTACTTTTAGGTATCTATGAGTGAGACAGATTTTAACATACTATGGATGGGAAGTCATCCAAAACCGGACATCTTGCGAAATTTGATGCCATATCAAAAAATAAATCATTTTCCTAGGTAAGAATGGATTATTAAGAAACAGTTTTCATAATCTAAGATAATACTTTACGGATTTGAACAGTTACTAAATAAACTCTTGGAACAATTTAAACTTCGAAAATTTTTATTTGAATTTTTATAGAATGTAATATAAAATCTGGCTATTAATTTGACTTTCCTTAAAAATCTATTTTTAGGTCGTACGAAATTACCCGAAAAGATCGCCTTTATAAAAATATCGAAGCTATGCAAAGGAGTAAGGGCCTCCGAAATCTCGATTTTATACCTCAGACATTTCTACTGCCTACTGAAGCCAGAGAGTTGATTTCGGCGCATTTCAGATATAGAGGGCCTTGGATTGTCAAGCCTAAAGCTAGTTCGCGAGGCCGTGGCATTTATATTGTCAATAATGTAAGAGCATGCACACTTCAGTATTTTATGAATTTTTTACATTATTTAAACTGTCGTTAAGTAAAAGCAATCTTACATAAATATATTGAGAGAGTTTATTAGTAAAAATTTCTTATAATAATTATAATTATTTATGATAGTTATTTCGGTAATTACACGGATAAACGGACATCGTACTGATGACCTTGATTTTGACACATGTTGACAAGACCATAACTATGAGTAACCTTCAAAAGATTTTAGGTGGCGGTCACTGTTCGTTCAAAAGTTATTAACAAATAAAGTTTAAAAAATAATACTTATTTCTGCCATATATTGATGCGTTTACGACTTTCCACGCGAAGAGAGGTCACCCACCCCCCCCACCTACGCGCGTCTTTTTACGCGAAGCAGGGCATCTATCATGGAACAAAATCGAAATGGATTCCGATCGGAATTATTCAATTATTCCTTAGATTTCTATTACGTTTTTTGGGGGGAAAACGGAATAATTGCGAATAAAATAGTTGATGATAGTGACATTCTTAATTCATTTCTTACATCATCGTTCTCTCTCACTCAAACGCATATAGGTACGGTGGATCCTGGGTACCTATCATGGAATAAAGTCGGAATGGATTCCATTTATTCCATGATAGGTGCCCAGGATCCACCATACCTATATGCGTTTGAGAGAGAACGATGATGTAAGAAATGAATTAAGGATGTTATTATTATCAACTTTTTTTATTTGGAATTTAAAAAATCTATAGGTACTATCGACATCAATCAAGTTCGGCCGTCACTCAAGCCAGCATCCCCTTAATGATGTGATTTAGCAATGATTCTAATTTAGTAATTAATTATAATAATATTTTTAAATTGCTCTTGGACGTACAATTAGCCAATAGTATATTTATTGATAAATATGATGACATATAAATATATTCTTGATGTTTTTGGATTACATCAAGTTGTATATGAATTGTGTTTTATAAAACTGATAATTTTTTTTGCGAAGTATATAATACTACATCATTCACTTATCCAATTTTTTTTACTATATTGTTATAGCCTGAAAAGATCCTGACAGATGAATCGGTTATTGTGGCGCAATATATAAATAATCCGCTTTTAATCGACGGACATAAATGTGATTTGCGTCTTTACGTAGCTGTAACGAATTACGATCCCCTGCTAATTTATTTATATGAGGAAGGTTTAGTGAGATTTGCTGCTGTTAAATATGATGGCGGAAGTGAATATGTTTGGAATCCTTGCATGCATCTTTGCAACTATAGTATAAACAAGTTCCACGTGGATTATGTAAAGTAAGTACTACTATAACAAGTACTAATATTAAATGTATTAAGATAAAATTATTTGTATGATGAATAAATATATATATTTTTAATAAGGTAAATATATGTATACATTAAAAATATATTAGGATAAAATTGTTTATAGTGATAAAAGATACATATATTTTCTATTTATGTAAAATAATAACTTAAATAGTTAAATATGTTAAAATTTTGAGAAAGTTTTGTAATAAGGTTTACTTACAATTAGACAAAATTTTTAGTACACATTTGCTTGTTTTTGTCTTGCCAAAGTTTCAGTTTAGTTATTCTTGTATTATAATGCAAATAATAGTACAGTCTTTATTATTTTACGTCAAGAAAATATTGTAATTTATGTAATATTAGCAATACAAATAAATAAATAAACAAGAATAAAAAAACAAAAGAAAGAAGGGAAGACAAAATAATAAAGTGAAGCAAAAAAAATTTTTTTAACCTCAAAATAATCATATAAAAACAACCATATAACTGAATAAAAAAAGTTTCACATAGAAATTACTTAAAAAAAGTATCTAATAATTATATCTGCCTAGAAGTGAAGATCCCGATGCCGAGGACGTAGGACATAAATGGACATTGTCGGCATTACTTAGGCATTTACGCTCAATAGGTCAAGATACGGAATCGCTTATGCAGCGAATAGAAGATATTATTATAAAGTCAATTCTTGCTACTGCATCTGGAATCGTCAGCGGTTTAAAGCAATTCGTGAAATACCCCGAGACATGTTTCGGTAATAATTTATCTCAAATAGTGTCTTCGATGTTTTTTAACATAATATACAGGGTGTAATTTAAAATATGGTTAACAAACTTCAGGTTTGAACTCCCTACATCAAAACACACGAAAAAAAGTTCATATAAACATGCTGTATCCGCAAACTCACTATCACTGAGATACAGCTCAAAATGCTTATTAATATAGGAGAAGATAGAAAGTGATATTTATTAATATTTAATATTATTTTCAATTTTTAATTATAACAAATGTTCGAAGTGACTTCCATTTAATTCTATACACGCTTGGACATTTCGGATCATGGACTGTCGCATTCTTTCAAAGCTCTCGTGGCAATTGCGAATGTTTACAATCATCAAAGATGCATTAACGTAACATCTTCATTGGCGATTGGAACTTCATAAACTAAGGACTTTAAGTGTTCCTACAGATAAAAATCTAAGGGGTTTGGATCATCGGGGTCATACATAATACTTAAAGATTTTGAATTATGTCTCAGTAACATTGGATTTGCGAACATATGTTCATATACTTTTTTTCATGTTTTGGTGTGGGAAGCTCAGCTCCGAAATTTAGCTTATTTTAGTTATACCCTGCGTAAATATAGCTAAACAGTACTCACGATATAAACAAATATTGATTTAAAAAAATTATTTTTAATATGTAAATTCAATGAAAAAAAAACGATCGTTTTGTCATAGAAAATATTATTTTATGTTATAGAAAGATATAAAGTAGAAATATAGTATTTCATATATATATATATCACACATGTATGTTTTAGAGCTATTTGGCTTCGATATACTGATTGACGATATGTTGAAGCCGTGGTTATTGGAAGTAAATTTAACCCCCTCGTTGGGATGTGATTCACCACTAGATGTTAGACTCAAGTCAGCTTTAATAACAGATTTGCTTACTCTCGTCGGCATAGCTGCTGTCGATCCAATCCTGCGCTCTCAAAATTTAAATCGTGCTGCCATAAATTCCGATAAAAAGATAACTAATGTAAGCTATTTTGCTTTTATTTTTCTTAAATTATTCATATTAATCTTCCATCATATTTATCTTGCATCTATACACAATATACTCAATGAATACAAAGAAATATATGTAACGTACCTGTTAGTTGTAATTTTCCATTTCAATAATATAACCGTAATATAACATGTATGTTATGTTACAGCTATATTGCTGAGTGAGAAATTATAACTAAAGTTACATGTAACTTGCGTTCACTGGATATTGATTAAATATTAAATTATTTAAAATTCAGATTCGATTATACATTCAGTTGTAGATATGTTAAACAATTAATCCCTTACAGCACTAAGTTACACAAAAGTTGCAGCAACACTGCATGTTGCAGCAATATTACAGAGATTTTGCAGCGATAATTACTGTAAATTCTGTGCTATATGGGATGATTTTCAAGGTTAGGAACGCGGTTATCAAAAAAAAATATAACGCGTTACCATTAGCGTTATACTTAAAAGGTAACAGTTTTTTCCCGTATTTTTTTTACTTTCTTTTAATGCTCTACAAAAGTATATTGATTTTCAAATTACAATTAATATTTAATAATAAATATTAAAACTAAATTTAAAAACGTAATTTACGAAGATGTTGCGATAAGGGCCATTTTTGGTTCTCCTGTATTCAAACAAAACTAAAAGGGAAATGTATCTCTATATCGATCTAATAATTCCCCGAAAGAATATAGGTCTGTTTTCTGTGGCTGAACTAGTGTACACTTTTTTGGAACTTAAAGTGAGAAAGATATATGTTTGATGTTTGTTTAAAGCGAGAAAGAGAGTTCTAGAACAGTCTAGTGCAGGAACAGAAAACAGACCATATGATTGTAAATCTCATCGTTTATGAATTATTATATTCTTAACCCTAGATGATCACTGGGGGTCACTTTGACCCCACCAAAAGTTTGGGCTAAATTTTCACCAACTTAAATTTCGAAATAACGCCTGACACTTCATCTACCAGTAGTTTGAGTCTCTAACTACATTACCATGCGGTTGGCATGGCGTAAAACGCGTTAGTGAAACGCGTAGGATTATTTTTTTTAAATCACCCCAATTAATCTTCAAAACAAATACCTTTTCTGAAACGCCCGCTATTACAATAATTTTTTTATCGAAGTGCAGCATCCGAAGACTTTATCTCTAAAATTTTACGCAAAAATATTAAAAAATAAAAAAGTTATGACTTTAATGAAAAAAGTCACTTTTCACTAGACTTTCATTCATGAATTTTTTTAACTATTTTAAAATTATTAATTCAACAAAAAACCAATGCGCGCGAATACATATTTTAAAGTTCAAAGAATGTCCCTAATTTTGTTTTGCCCTATATCTGTGAAAATAAAGCTGTGGCAGCCATTTAAACGTGCTGAAGGTCATGTTGACTCTGTGTGATTATTACGTAATTTTCACGAAGTGTGATCATCTAGGATTAATTTAAATGATTCATAGGGAATTTTACACTATTCGATGATTGAGATTTTTTGGACAATATAATTGGAATTCCACTTCATGAGTCTTTCTCAAAAACTTGCAAAGGGTATTACTTACAATATATCAAGATGGAAAATCGATGAAAGCGTGTGCATATGCTGCCATCCAGCACATTGAATCTATGACATTCAATCTCCACATTCACATTAGGTAATGCAAATTTCGGCAGTTTATATTATCTTAGTGAAAAGATCAAACGTCTCTTCATGTTTTACTTCTCTTCATTCACGATTAGAACAAAATCTGGAAATTATTTACAATAGGGCCTTTTCCGAATTTCGACATTTTTCGGTTGCAATGTTGATAATAATCTTTATTATGACTCAAATAGTGATAATAAGTCGGGGAGGTCGAAAAATAGTCTACCTATTTTTTAAATTATTTATTCTACCTTATCTTCCCGCATAGGGGCGCACGACTTTCCATGCGAAGCGATTTCCATCCCCACCCCTGTTTGGGGCGCACAACTTCCACCCGAAGCGACTCCCATCCCATCTCCTCCCTTGCTTAGGAGCCCACAACTTCCATGCGAAGCGACTCCCATCCCACCTCCTCCCCTACTTAAAGGCGCACGACTTTAGAATGTCATTATGAGAGCCCGGATTAATGTTCTGAGAACGTGTCAACCGTAGCTAGCTATGTCCTCACTACACCTCATCTCCCACCTCTGTAGCGCCATCGCTCCGTCGCTCGCCACGGCTTTTGATAGCTTTTGGCAGTGGGAAGAATCGTGAAGAACGCGCTACAGTCGACTCAAATCGATACGTCGGTCGGCGAATAATCCGGGCTTTAGTCATCATTATTACTCGAATAAAACTATATACGTGTATATTTTTCGACCTCTCCCGATTTATTATCACTATTTGAATCATAACAAAGATTGTTATTAACATTGCAGCCGACAAATGTCGAAATTAGGAAAAGATCCTATTGTAAATAATTACCCAAACTCTTTAGGACCTACTTATTTTGAACAATTAACTCTTCCTTCTTTCCCAATAAGTCGATCTATTACTATTAAATTCATATTGTTATTTCTTGTTTACATACCTATCTTGAATTAAGAAATGATCGTTATTTTGAATCTGCAAATTCTTTAAATAGTTTGGAATCACTATAGATGCGAGAGTAAAGATAACGTTTATATTCATGGATTCAAGGTGTTAAATAAAAATATACAACACTTTTATCGCTTTCTTTTGTTATATTCAGGTGATATCCTTGCTAAATTTTTGAGAAAAGTTAAGTTGCAATTCCAGGAACATTGTCATAAAAATACCGACCATCGAAAAGTGCCAAATCTCCTATAAAATTATTCAAATTCAAAATGTAATAATTCATAAACGATGAGATTTAGATGATACTGAGCTGTTCCTCCGGGAAACTCCCTTTATGTAGACGATGTAGAAGAGGATGAGAGTATATTGAGGAGAAGGGGCCAATAACCAGAAGATTGGTTCCATTATGTAGACGACACTTTCGTAATCTGGGGACATGACAGTGATGAACTTCACAAATTCTTAAACTTTCTCAACAACCAACATCCTAATATTCGATTCACCATGGACATAGAAGAAAATGGTGAGCTTCCCTTTCTGGATTTTCTTGTCACAAAGAAGATTGACAATATGTTCTGGCCCTGGGCCATCAAATATACAGGAAGTCAACACACACTGACAGATACTTACATGCCGAGTCGCACCACCATCCAGCACAAAAACAGTCGGCAATATACTCACTTGTGCATAGAGCATTCAGTATCTCTGATAAGGAACATTTACAAACAGAACTCAACCATTTGAAACAAACCTTACAGTGGAACGGATACAATAAAAAAGAAGTGGACGGGACAATCAGCAAACATAGGAGCGGGACAAAGAACCACTGGGACATACGATAACTACAGGAAAAGTTAAACAAAAGAAGCCTCTCCGTGTGTAAAAGGAACAACAGACCGAATCGGCAGGATTTTGAACAAACACAATATCCGAACCATTTTCAAGCCTCCAAGGAAGATCGAGCAAATCTTGAAAAATCCTAAAGACTAAAGACCTTCACTCAATTCCGCAGGAGTATACAAAATACCTTGCTCTTGCGAAAGTATACATCGGTGAAACCAGAAGAATGGTCAACGTGTGCATGAAGGAACATCAAGAGATGTTAGGTTGAAACATGCCACACAATCAGCATTGACAGAATTGAGACAGGACATCAAATATTATTCGACAAAACGGCTACTATAGCTACAACGATGTCATATTTCTCGAGGAAGTATAGAGAGGTCATATAAATATAGAAACATCTATACAATTCGAACAGAAATTCAGGTTATAATATAAGTAGGATATGGAAAACTGCTCTCTTAACAAACCAAGGAAGATCTTCCCCCCTTCCCCAACCCTCACCCCCCTTCTGTAGCGCCTGTGTAAAGGGAGTTTCCCGAAGGAGCAGCTTAGTATCAGTGCGCTCCTCGCCCTGATGAAGTGAACGGCAAGGTTCACGAAACGTTGGCATTAGTAATGACAAAAACACGGAGATAACCCTTCTGGTATCATTAAAAATAACAGTCGTGAAAGCCTAAAAGGTATTATATTAGTTCACATAAATAGCTTAGCTATGGAGATTCTAAATTCTTACGTGTCAGTGCGTATATGTATATACGGTGTGTATGTGTGTATGAGGACAAAGGAGGAGGAAGTGATTAGACGCGAGGTTCGAGGGAGGGGCGATGTCACTGGACATGAGGCACTGAACTATATAACACTGGAATGGGCATCTCCGCTGCGATGCATAGAAAATCGTGGCCGCTATTGATCAGCCGCCATTTTGATTTGAGGTGCTATTTGAGCGAATCAGGAGCTTTCAGGTGCTCATGCGCACTTACGTTTAGTATTCTTTAGTAAGACGCATATGTCAACAAGATTATCGTGTGTGAGATTATATTTGAAGGATTATAAAATCGCGTGACTGTCTACAAAGCATCAACATGAGGTGCTGTGGGGTGATCCCGATTGATCACGGCTCGATTGAACACCACCAATCACAGCGACCGGTGCTTAGGAGCTTTGTAGTCTCAAGCGCTGTGAGTGGCTCGTGTTCAATTGAGCCGTGTCCAACTGGGTGCCACCCGGTGCTGTGTGCCTGGGTGTGGGCAGGAAAGTAAAAAAGGCGTTTTATTTCATAGGTAAAAATTTTTTTATTAAATATATCATTTCCTACATATGTGTTAACGATGTAGGATATGAAGTGTTATTAAAGTTATTTTATTGAATGTACTAATAAAATTGAAGTGATATTATTTTTGTTTATATACCATTCATATCATATAGATTTCCATACATCGATAGTACATCGATCGATACATCGATCGCAACGCGCGCGCGAACGCTTCTGATTCGCTCAAATCCTACCTCAAATCAAAATGGCGGCTGATCAAAAGCGACCATGAATTTTCCTCGATGCCCATTCCAGTGATATACAATGATGGGAGAAAGTTCGGCAACGGTCAAATATCTTGGAAAATAATGCTTATGGAAAAAAATGTTTAATACAAAAGTTTTAGTATATCAAGTGGTCTATTATATGGTTATGTTGAAATGACCTTCATGTGACCTTGAAGGACACTGTGAAGGTCAACTTTGAAATCTTAAATGGAAACACCTATTTTCTCTTACATGTCCTTAAAGCTGGTGTCAAGACGTTTCCGAAACACTGGTTAAAAACCCTTTTTGCTTGAGATCTTCCTGAGTTACGAACTTTTAAAGTTTAAGTATCGCCGGCGCGTTATCTAAGGTATACTGCGTGGAGGTGGCACGGTCGGATATCCACCACTTCGAGATGCTTGATCAAAGTGAGTCTTGTGCGCGCGCGCGCAACAATTTGAACATTTAATTAATTAAATTTTTAATTACATCTAACACACACACACGCACACGCACACACACGCACAGCAGAGAGGGTTGGAGTCGTAAAATACCGGGGGACTGACGAACCTCCGGGTCCTTATCTCTGACTGTATTCGCACGCGCACGCGCGCGCGCGCGCGCGCGCGCGCACACACACACACACACAAATGCGCGCGCACAAGACTCACTTTGATCAAGCATCTCGAAGAGGTGGATATCCGACCGTGCCACCTCCACGCAGTATACCTTAGATAACGCGCCGGCGATACTTAAACTTTAAAAGTTCGTAACTCAGGAAAATCTCAAGCAAAAAGGGTTTTTAACCAGTGTTTCGGAAACGTCTTGCCACCAGCTTTAAGGATATGTAAAAGAAAATAGGTGTTTCCATTTAAGATTTCAAAGTTGACCTTCACGATGTTCTTCAAGGTCACATGAAGGTCATTTCAACATAACCATATAATAGACCACTTGATATACTAAAACTTTTGTATTGAACATTTTTTTCCATAAGCATTATTTTCCAAGATATTTGACCGTTGCCGAACTTTCTCCCATCACTGTATAGTTCAGTGGCATGAGGACTGCAGCAGGGGGCTGACGTTACCGAGGAGGTCCGCGGTAGAGAGGAACGGGGCTCGCCTCCCCTCCTCTCTCTCCCCCCCTCCCTCCCTCTTCCTCCCCTTGTCTTTTTCTCTCTCGTTGCGTTCTCTTTCCAATCCATTATCCTTCCTCTTCCACCTATTGTAGGCTGCAGTTTTCTCTCTCCCACCCATTGCGATCTTATACTTGCCATCTTATTCACTTTCTCTTCTATTGTGGTCCTATATTTACCATCTTATTCGTACTCTTTCTCTTCCTCTCGTTGCAGTCCTATACATACCATTTTATTCACGTTCTCTCTCCCATTCATTGCGGGTCTATATACTTACCCTATTATTCGCGCGTTCTCTCTTCTTTCCGTTGTTCTTAAAAGTCACATTTCTTTTATTTTGCAAAATATTAGAGAATTCGTAAGAGGTACCGAGAACATTAAATATAAAGAATGATTAACCGACTATGAGCAAAACGTTGTTTTCTTGTTTTAGTATAGAAGAGTGCAGTCCGCAGAAACATTGCCTCAAGAAAGGAAGAATATTAGAAATAATAAAAGTAAAGTAGGTTTAAATTTAGAGCAACAACGAATAGTAGCGTCTGCAAAAGCACAATTTGAGAGAAGAGGTGGATTCGTTAGAATATTTCCAAGTCCGAAATCTTGGGAACTCTACTCACAGTACTTAGGTAAACATAATATTGCTTCGATAATGAATTGTCGAGATTTTCGTTGAAAAGTGTCGAGATATTTTTCGAAGTCAATATGTCCTAACAAGATGATCTTTTTTATCCATTCTATGTCTTAGATCCAATTACAGGTGCACCAATGATTTCGGATCCGCTAGGTCCGAGGAGATTACCGCAACATATTAATACTAACCATAATCTAATGCTGCATGAACAATTGTTTCCTGCAGCTAATCGCATTACTGGCTACATTGTTTCAGAAGTCATATTAGATAGATTATCTAGGTATGAGGACACAAATTCTTCTTTCACATAATTATAGTAACCACATTTTTGTTCACGAAACTATTACTTTTAATATAAAAACTTAAATTTAGTAATTTTTCAGTATTATACATTCCAATGATTTTGATCATATGTTATTAATACTTTTGTATTAATCGATAATTTTTTTATTTTTTTAAAACTAGGAAACGGATATAATGAACTCTTTTAAACCTATAGCCGATTGTCGCAAGATATTGTTATCGAAATCAAAACTATATTTTCTTCAAATTATTTTGTTTATAACTATTTGTTGTTTGAAATATTGAAGAAAATTTAAATTACCTGTTGTAAATTCAAATAGAGAAAATATATAATTATGAACAAGAAGATTATTAAAATGTAAAAAACTCAAAATTTATGACATACATTTTTGAAAAAATTAATTAAATATATTTCAGTATCTAAAAATTAACATATTTTGGTAATTGTGCATATTAGAGGCGACCTCACAAATTTCAATGACCTTGATGTATGTTGTCAAGGTCATGACCTCGAGTGATCTCCAACAAGTTTTAGTCGCCGCTCGTTATTCGTTAAAAAGTTATTAACAAAATAAGTTTAAGAAATAACGTCTTTTTTCTACTGCACGTAAAACAAAAATTCTCTGTTTTAAAATCCCTCTCCCGCGTAAGAGCATACAACTTTCCATGTGAAACGAATTCCATTCCACCTCCCTTCCTACCAATGTGCACACAACTTTTTATGCGAAACGAGGTTCATCCACCCCACCTTCCTCCTGTCTAGGAGCATATACGACTTGCCACGCATTCAAAAATAAAATTCTTATTCGTTTTTGAAATAGAATTTTTTGCACAAAAATCACAAGTCCCCTCTTAAAACATGATATACATGTCTTTTTACTAGTTTTTTTCATTATCGAAGAAAAAAATCGCGGTTTTTGAGGAGCACGATTTCTGAACATTTACTCCATTTCCTAGCTTAGTTAACAAATATCAATGTATAATTTTATTTCCGTTCGATCTCCTTTTGTTAAATATTAAGTTATAAACAATGGAGATCGAGGTCGAATAGATGGCTTTGTCATTATCATTTTCTAACTTTGTTAACAAATTATGGTATATAATTTCGTTTCCATGCGATTTCCTTTCGTTATGTATTAATTTATAAACAGAGGTCGATGACGATTTTCATTACCATTTCCTAGCTTAGTTAACAAATCTTCTTCATCGGTGCAAATTAATTAATGTTCGCAATTATTTAACTAGTGTCCCTAGACATTGACAATGTTTCCGAAAGCATCCGATCAGCGCCATCTAGCGCCAGATGCTGCAACCGTACATTCTGAGCTGGTCGACGACAATAATAATGATGATGACAATAACGACGTTTCTGAATCTGAAAAGTTACAAGACTTTGCGTCGCAATATCCCCGCTTATAGGGTACGTAAAGAAAAATGTATAATACAATCGGAGTGTAACCTATCGATTAAGTGTACTTAAAACTCGATCGAGTCAGCCGTTATTGAGATCCGATAATCTCGATCCGGCATAACACGTCAGCTTGCGTAAAGGAGCACGGTAGTGTATCGCGCCATGACGCTTCGTTTGTCTTAGCGGCGAGACACTACCGTGTCTCCAGATATTTTTCGACCTTCCCCGGTTTATTATCATTATCTGAACCATAACAAAAATTGTTATCAACATTGTAGCCAAAAAATATTGAAATTCGGAAAAGGCCATATTCTATGTAATTACCGAATCTTGTTTCGCGTAAAGTCGTTGCAAAATAAAAAATTTTTTGCTTTAAAAACAAAAATTATATAAAAAGATAACGTTTTTAAAGAAAATTTGTGTCTCTAAAGCAAAACAAATTTATTTTGAAACAGAATTTTTGTTTTGTGCTATAGAAAAGGACGTATTTCTTAAACTTATTTTGTTAATAATTTTTGTCAATAATTTTTTAACGAATAACGTCTAAAATCTGTTGGAGGTCACTCGGGGTCATAACCTTGACAACATATGTCAAGGTCATTGAAATCTATGAGGTCGCCCCTAATATGCATAATTACTTCACTTTCGTTTTTCGAATTTTTTTCCGCCGGGCAGATTTACTCGGTGGATGATCAACAGTGTTTTCATTTTGGCCGATGTATAACCGATCTATATTTGTGTATTTTGGTTTTGAGTTGAGCCAGAGTAATATTTTATTCTTAAGTTTCCTGGAGATTGAAATCTTGGCTGAATTCTTATCTAACTTATACGTCTATTAGAAGTTGAATCTGTTGTTCCCATTTCTCGAACGTTCCTTCAGATCCATCGAAATTGTCAATCAAATCTCCCATTGATCTTATACTAAGCTTTGCTTACGAACTTTCAAACGGTGTAGAAGATTGCGGTATTTGCCTAAGTAACTCGTTCTCGCATCGTATTAGTTCTCGTTCCATCAAGTTTTTCTCTCTTTTTAAGAACTTCAACTCTCTTCTTAGTAGTTACTCGATATCGGCTAATGGTGCTTGGTTCCGTCACAGTATAGATAGGAACAATAGGCTCACTCTGTGTCGGCACCTTTGATCTGACTACTAAACGACCGCTATGTTGTCAGCCGTGCGTGAGCACCTGTAAGAGCAAAGTTGCTTAGCTTCCCTAGACTGTACCTAGGCCGGTATTCATAGTCGGATCTTGTATTTAAAACCGTCTTAAGTACAGTCTTAAGATGTCATGAACTAATCATTGAACTGTATTAGCATCTTAAGACATTACTTTAAGACGATCTTAAAATAAAAACGGACTATGAATATCGCCCCTAAAGTACTTGAATAGAGGAAACTGATTGGTGCGCCATATTATTGGCCGTGCGATTCGGTCATGCGCAAGGGCACCATTAGCACCATTTTTGACTGAGTAAACGTACTGTTCTTACCTATGCTGTGGTTTCGTTCTCCTGTCTCAACGTATGTGACATCTTCCACAGCTCTCTCTCTTCCGGTGGCGGTCTTTTCCACATATCGGAAGGATCAAACTTATTTAATTCGCGTCATAAGTTCTGCCTTCGTGCCGATCCCGTTCACGTAATTTTTCTTATACAACACCGCTACCGTGAACATTTCCTCTTCCATCGTTCCGACGGGGTGTTACGTCATTGTTCCTTCCATTTTTTTGCGCAACACGAACGGACTTTATCTTAACTTTAGGGCTATGGCAGAAAACGAGATGTACAAGACGTAACAAGATATAGTCGTGACTGGTCTCAGAGACCAAAGCACTTTTCCGACCAGTCACGACTGCGACTTCTACGTTTTTCTCGGTCTTACCCCACGTCACGACTACAGGTCTGAATACAAGAATTATAATACTTACTTAGGTTTGTTCTACAATAGGTGATTGGTTAATTTCTATTACGACTTACCGCTTACGACTCTATTGTAGAACATTTAGAGACACGGCAATAAGTTGTACGTCATACATGAAAGCCTGTGCGTTTCTTACATCTATAACTTAAGTCTAAGTAAGTGTGTGTGTGTGTGTGTGTGTTACGACATTCTTGTACTGTAACAGACCTGTCTCGTTACATCTCGTTACATCTCGTTCTCTGCCATTACCGGTACGCTAGGGATGTACACGGCTGTTTTGTATCTATTCGATTTCACGATATTATTGTCCACATATGTGTCGTTGACTTATGCAACGCCGGATCGCGCGCGGCATTTATTTACATACAGCAATAAATCGCACACAGCGTTTATTCACACACAGCGTTTTCTAACATGTCCGTGCCTATGACTACTAAGTCTAGATTTCACGGGGCCGTCTGTGGTCTTGAACTCTCGTCGGTTTTTAGTCACACTAATCTTGAATTTGGTGTCTCAATTGGCGTCGTATCTCACCAATTCTGATATTGTAAGTGAACGTTTGAAAAGTCTGACCTCGATCGCGAGTCAAAAGAAGGAGAAAGAAGTAGGCAACTCTTATGCGTGTTTTCTCTCCGACGACCATCTTTATTTCGATTGTCCTCCGCGCGATAGGCGCGTACATCATATTCAGGAGATGGAAGTAACTCGTTACTTGCAACGAAGTTGCAGTTACAAGTTACTTTTTTGATAACTTTACTGGTAACCGCGTTACTTTATTTTGGTAATTGTAACGATAACGTACTTACATTTTTTTGGTAATGGTAAACGATTTTACAGCTATTACTTTTATTGTTAGTTTGCGCACGATTGGACACGGTTCGATTGGACAAAGCCATTCATAGCGCTTGAGACATAGAAAGCCCCTAGGCAACCGTCCGTTATGATTGGTGGTCGTCGATTTTAAGAAAGTAACAAGAAGTTACTTTCTCAAGTAACGATAACTGTTACTTTTAAAAAGTAACTTTCCATTCCCTGATCGTATTACTCCGCGCGATGGGCGCGTAAATCATATCACTTTGCGCGACATTTAAATTAACCTTACAATATTTATAAAATTGTTTTGTGTAAAGATATTGCAAAATATACTCGACTTTTCTTTACATTTTTAATGTCTTTTCCCTTGCCAGCGACAATTTGCTATAGATTTTAAAAACATAAGTTTATGTCAGCGTCTATAGATGTATTAAAGTCGTGATTATGAGTAATATATTAAAGTTGTCAAAAATAAAAGTACAGAATGTCCCAAAATTTGCGACTCAAAATACTCTAGCAAGAAAGTTCTCAGAGGATTAAGTAAAAAAGTTATTTGTAATTTTTTATTTTAATCAGCAATTTTTGAGATATCAAGAGTTTAAGTATGGCCGATTACAGACCACGTTTAAACACCCGCCAGTCCACGAGTTGCACATGCAGTAGTATTAATGATTGTTATTGAGCGCTCACCTACATTTACAGATGACCGTATAAACGTATCGTCAAAGCACTAGTTTCTGGTAAGTCCCTAATTTTTTATCAGTTTGGTGAATAAATTATTTTATTGCATTCTCACTATCATAAATATTCAAAAAATATTTATAATAAAATTGAATATAGAGAATTACTCTAAGTAACAATAAGTGAGAAGCAGACTTTCAAAATGCGTTTTGTTTAAAATTTATATAATTTTCCGAAAAAAAGAAAGCCACAAGGAAACCATGCGCCTTATACAGAAGAAAATAACAATTTACCAATCAATAAGATGTAAAATGTTGAAATTACTAAACTATTTCTAATAATGTTAGACAAATTATGTATTTTGTTTGTCTCTAGTTAAAGGATGTAATGCACTTCGAATGTCTAGACTTTTTTCAACACAAATTGATGGTGAAAAAATGCTTTCAGAATATCGTAGAATAGCTTAGGGTAATTACCGGTATATACGCCGCGCTGGGATTTACGCCGTGGAAGTCAGAAAAAATGGAAGGAGTGGGGGTAATTTTCTCGCAACTACTCTATTATGCCTTTATGTTATATTAGTATTGAGTTATAATTTCAGCCTCTTACTGTTAATATTAATGGAATTATCGTGAGTTGAATCGATTTGTCACTGTGTGTGTGTGTAACAAGTAGCATCATCATAAATTATAATCTACATAAAATGATTACTAAGGCGTGTAAAAGACCTAGTGGTTATTTCGTGATACATACGTGCAGAGGAATAGTAAAGCATGTTGTATAGAGCAAAATACAAGTGCTTTGCTTTCGTATTCTTTGTTTAGTTTGTTGAAACCCTTGCATTTTTGTCATATATCACACTCATTATCTATATATAGCAAAAATGCAAGATATCTCAAAAAGTTTATTTTTTAATACGAAAACTAAATATTTCGGATTTCTAATATTTTTTTCATAGTAGTAAGTAGTACAAAGTTTTTACTGATATAGTTCGTTTATTTTAAACATAGTAAATAATACTTAATAAATTAAGTTTTTGATAGGTGCGACGTATATATCGGAGTTACCCTAAAATATGAATCTTTTAAAACTGAACACTATGCCATCTCTAACTAAAAAAATCAAATTTTGGACAAAGTGCATTTTGGAAGTTTACTTCTCAAGTGTAAATATGGAAGTTCCAATTGAGTACATTTTTATTACAATAAATTCAATAAAATAAACATTTGGAAACAGACGCATGTTACTGCCACCTATTATGGTCGGGCGTAAGCAAGATCTTTTGTTCAATCCGCTTGTTACTTGCACGTGTTTAACGAAATGAAAGTAATTGTATATGTTTCGTTCAGAGAATAGTTTACTAATAGAATGTCTTGAAGAAGAAAAACAGAAATTAGTCAGATTTAAAACGAAAAATCTGCTATTCCAGAGGCATATAATAATCCTTCAACTTCCTCAACTGGAATTCATCTTGAGCCATATGTTCCATTCTACGTACTCGAGCCTCTCTCGTGCTACTAATAAGGGAATTGGTTGGAACTGACCCGATTTTAATAAGCTTTAGATATGTTGTAGAGCAGGCCTGCAGCCGAATTGCACAATTCGACCAATTTTGCCTATCGTCATCCCCACTCCTCTTGTTTCATGGCGTTTAGATCGTGCGCGGAGACATAAGACGTCGAATTCAGGGATGATATTAGCCGTAATTCGTACAGGGCACTATAGGGCTATAGGACTTTGAAACATATTGTCCAACATTTACTGTTTACAAAGAGTTTTCATTATTATTATTATTATAATTAGTATTATGGTGTTGGAAACTCAAAATTAATACTTCAAAATAGAACACGTACATTAATTAGGCCTATTGAGGAAACTACTTAAAAAAAAACGCATCGACAGTAGTATCTCAAGGGTGATGTGGAAATCTATTAGCGTTAAATTTAACACGCACGCGTGCGCGCGCGCATACACACACACACTTATTTTATTTTATTGATTTATTTATTAAAAATGATTGTTTTGATATTTTTTTCAGTATGAAAACTTAATTAACGTATGTGTTCTATTTTGAAATGTTACTTTTGAGTTTCCAACACCATAATACTAATTATAATAATAATAATAATAATGAAAACTCTTTGTAAACAGTAAATGTTAGGCAATATGTTTCAAAGTCCTATAGCCCTATAGTGCCCTGTACGAATTACGGCTGATATCATCCCTGAATTCGAGCGTCTTATGTCTCCGCGCACGATCTAAATGCCATGAAACAAGAGGAGTGGGGATGACGACAGGCAAAATCGGTCAAATTGTGCAAGTCGGCTGCAGGCCTGTTGTAGAGCATGAAAAAATATTAAACCCATATTTTTTTAATACTTATCTCGATATTTAAGGGATGAAATACATCCTCGAAAAAAAAATTGTTTTTTTCTTCAAAGCGAATATCATCGAAACTATAATATAAGAGATAGAAAAAAATTTTCGAGAATGAAAATTGAATGGCTTCAAGAGTACTTTAGAACTATAATAAAAAAAATTTTTTTAATTATTTATTATATCTGCGCGCTGTGCACCCGTATATACAAGTGCTGAATTTATACCGAAGACGTTCGAATTTCGCTCTAAAATTTTAGGGACATATTTTCGAAGAGTTATACTATCGATGTGTGAAAAAGAAATCGACTTTTTTAAACCCTACAAAGTAGGAGACTATCCTTAACTACTTAAGGAAACATTGTTGATGTTCCGATATATGCACCTATGAATGAACACACTATTTGGATTATCCATGAAAATGGAACAGTCGAATGGGATCCTATTTCAGAGTTTTACCAGTTAGCCACACAAGCTTGTCGAGTGATGGAAGTCAGGATGTTTCTATTGAGAATTCTATATTCAACTCTAAATTCATCAGTTATTGGCTATGAAAATTTGAGTCCAAAACTAATGTGAAGGCTGCAGAGTGTTTAAATGTAGAAGAAAAAAAATTAAAAGCAAAAATCTTGTTTCAATTGTATATCTGGATGAAAGGACTACCCGTTCTTAATCTCTTAAAAAAAGTATGTTTATTAATTTTTGAGATAATTATTCTATATCACAATAAAACATGATTATTTATATTGTACATAAATTTTTCAGCAGATGACCTGAAGATGCCATCCTCATTTAAGAGGTGTCTGTTTTGACCCAAACAAAAGCAGAAATTTAAAAAGAGAAAAAAAATTAAATTCCTGCAATGACTATCAGATGAATGGAGAGAATATCACCAAGATCTAATTGAAAAAAGGAAAAAAAATAGAAGAGAAAAGACTGAGAATGGAATTAAGATTATAGAAACAAAAGTAAAAGAAGAGAAAGAAAAGGAGTAGAAATTAAAAAAAAAGCTTCTAGTAAATAAAACTAAAACATAAGAAACAAACACAAGAAAAATGTTACTTTTTTCACATTTCTATTATATTACTAATATGGAAATTATATATTAACAGCAGTCGGTCGTAAAACTATATGAATCTATTACATTAAAAGTATGGAAGTTATATTAATAAATTAATATAGTATCCATATTTTTTACTTCTTTCACAAATTTATGTAATAGTATATTGAAAAATATAAATAATATTAAAGAAATTGAATGTCATCGAGTTCTTAGTCTTTTTATGTTACAAAATATCTATGATCAGAATCTGTAGTCCTTGACCTGATCAGAAATTGAAGATCTGAGAGTAAAATGCTGTGATAAAAAAAATCAGTTCCATATAATTCACGGCGATATTAACTCATTATCAATTTAAAGTTTGAATGTTGCTTTATCGTTTGAAAACAAAAAAGTTTGTATTTTCGTGTTTTATTACGTTTAAATATTGAGGGCAACGTGGGAATGCTCCTTAACCGACCAGAAACTAGTGCCTTGAGAGTAATTGGCCACATTTAAATTGTTATATCTCAGAAAATATTGCTTAAAATAAAAATTTACAATTAACTCTTTTATTTAATTTTTTGAAAACTTTTATGTTATAGTACTTTGAGTTTCGAATTTTGAGACACCTTGTATAACACTGAATATCTATTTCTTCAAACTTTTCATAGGTAGGATCATACAAAAAGCTGAACGTTATTAAAAAATATTAACTGTCATTATAAAAATGACAAAAAAGAAAACAAAATGTAAATCTAGATGCTGCGAAAATAGATTACGATGCATTGCTATAGCTTTATTTGTATGACTACTATGTATAATCCCGTAAAAGTTAGTAATTGATCATTTCCTTGTAGGTACGAAAGATATGAAAGAGCGTTGGTGAAAGGCCACAAACAGAGCTTGGATAGAATGAATAACAAAGAGAATGTAGATATAGATATACATAAATATAAGAGTCAAGTATTGCAATCAATGCAAGAAGGCAATAAGCTGAGGTTTGTTATTAAAATTTATGTGAGAAATATCAATTAAACAATATAAGTTACAAGCTCTGACAAATTAAATCATTATACGAATAAGAATGCCAATAAGAGCGGACACATGTTAGTGTATATTTCTTATTTTATTTCAAATATAAAAGTCAATCAAAATATCACAAACGTTTCGATCCTCTGTTTTGGATCATCCTCAGTGCAATCAGTACTTCTTAAAATCTATAATCATTGTAAACGCATGTAAACGGATGTGTAAGCTATTAAAAGTCATTTATTAGATTACTTCGTTAGATTATGTTTTATAAATAAACTTGCGTCTTTATAATGAAACGTAATAAGCAACTTTTAACTTAATAGCTTACACATCTGTTTACATGCGTTTACAATGATTATAGACTTTAAGACGTACTAACTGCACTAAGGAGGATCGAAACGTTTGTGATATTTCGACTGACTTTTATATTTGAAATAAAATCACAAATACACACTAACAGCATGTGTCGGCTCTTATTAACATTCTTATTCGTGTAATGAATATCAATTAGTCAAGTATTTAACTATTTGAATATTGTTCGATTAATTTATCTGTTTTATCTTTCTTTCCCATCTGCATAAAAAAAAATTATACGAACAATATTTCAGTTCTGGTGAAGCAAGGAGAGCCTTCGGTTTATATCTAGGTTATATATTACGGAAAATATCACAGCCTAATGTAGATCCAGGATGTTGCGATCTTGTTATGAAGTTTCTCCAACATTCGTCTTGCAGTTTAAGAACACCATTTTTATTTACGGTACGCATTAGTAATAACATTATGGCTACGGTCCATTTGGCGCTACAAATGCTTCGAAGCATTTGTAGCGCCAAATGGACCGTATCTCCTATATCTTGTTATATAATAAAGTAATTTATTTAAAAAACGCTAAGACATTTTAACAGTGGCAAAGGTTAAGTGGAATAAATACAGTAAAATTACCTCAAAGTTAATTTAACGAAATAACTCCCTTCCTCCCTCCCTCCTCCCTCTTTCTCTTTCTCTCTCAATAACCAATGTAGTTTATAGTAGATAAATACGCTATCTAATTCCTCAACTTCCTAAACCTTCTCGTTAGGATAGGTCTTAAGGATGAGTTTACAAAATAAAAGTAGTTACACCCCATAATCAGATATAACGCATAATATAAAGATAGGGGTATTTGTCACGAGCGTCGCAGCATTATAATAATAAAATAAATAAATGAAAGTTTAATTAATTATTAAAACATTACGTTTGATGATATTTTAATTAAAAGATATTTCCGCGTGATGTTTCTTACCTCGGAAGAATACTGAGAAAGCTGACGAGAGGCACCTCATCAACAAGGGCCTTCGGAAACCAAGAGAGGATATAATCGGACTGGGGCATCGATCCAGGACTCGCTCGTTCGCAGTCCGGATTCTCACAAGGACACTAACAATAAGTCCGAATTCCATCTGTCTGTCTAAAGTCTATAAGGCGTTAAGGGGAATAATCAAGTAATTGAAAACAAAAGTGAAATTATAAAGTTAATTTATTAATAAATTATTTTAAGTTTTTTTTTGAAAAAAGTGTGTGTAAAGTTGATTAGCTCCGATCCCGACGTCTCCCCGCGGATCCCGAATCTGTTGTGCCCGACTCCTTGGCACAACGTATTTGGTGGCAGCGATGGGATCCGCAATCGTTATAAAATCCACCCAGCTAATCTTTGAAAAATTTTTTAAGTTGAAATCAGTCACACGGTGTAATAAAAATAGTACCACTTGGGTCTTACTTTTTAATTTGGTACAGTAATTCGTTTTCGAAGAGCACGATGTACTCTTAGCACTTTTTTTTACTTTTTTTGGAAAGATAAGTTTGTATGACGTTCACTTGAAACTTCTCTTTCATTTGTGTTTCATTATTATTGCGTTATGTCTAACTGATTGGGAGATGTAAACTTTAATCCTTTAAACTCATCATTGTAGCATTCTAACGGACAGGTTTAGGAAAATGAATTAGTGTATTTACCCTCACCACAAGTTGCTTTTAGATTTATTTCGTTAAATTATTTTAGGGCAAATTTTCTCATGTTAATTCCGCTGGACTCTTCAAATTTTAAGTTAAATTCAAAGATAATGTATATAAATTGAGTATCTATTATATTGTCGAAGTGTTGCGCTACGTTCAGAATACGACAATTTTATATCAGAAGTAAATCGCATAGTTGAATTATTTGTTTGAATTAATAATGTTTTTCATAGTTACCATGCAGTAAGTTAAGCGATAAGGATCGAGCTGCCATCACCGCAAAGCAACTTTCTGATTTTTTGCATCTGTATAACAGAGAAACAGATCTATACGAAGACACCGTAGACCGGCCTCATACCGTTCCTAATAAACTCTTCCAAAAATTTTTAGTTGCTGCAAGGTATGCACATATCTTGAGTTTTTAAAACATAGTCCTATTGTGAAATTGCGTGAGAAAAAACCACCCATTAAAATACAGAATAGTATCATTTATATCATATTTTAGGACACAGAATAGATACAGAAAAATTATGCGTATCAAGAACGTTTAATTTCACAACAATTATTAAGATATGTGTAATATGATTACGTTACAGCGAACAAGATCTTGATGATGTGCTGATTCTGCAAACTCGTCTTTATAAGTGCACTCACAGTTTTTTGGGAAGAAGCGGCTTCGCTGGCAATCTACGCGGCGCAAATCTTCTCGGGTCTTTACCACATATTACATCGCGAGTGTATTCCAATGCCGCTGCAACAGAACAGTGCAGATGTAATAATTCAATTAATAGGTAATTTAATTATTACATTTACCGAATTTATTATACATTTTGAGAGAGATGGAAGAGAGAAAAAGAGAGGAGAGTGAGAAGAAAAAAGAGAAAGAAAAGAATGCACATATTTATAATTCTTAATCTGTTAGGGTTATGTCTGCGCTCTCTCTCTCTCTCTCTCTCTCTCTCTCTCTCCCCGCCCCCCTCTCTCTCAAATTGTTGATAAGTCAAGTATTGTATGAGGCTATTTTAAAACAAAATGGCATATAACACTTTTATGCCCTAATATAATAATAAATCGTTCTTGCATATAATGTCAAAGGCATCATTTTAAGAGCAAGAATATTTTGAATACTCTCTAAAGCGCTTTAATTTTATTTACGTATGCAACATATTAATTAATATATTACGCATTCGTATATCTTATCGCCGGTTCGCGTAAAGGAGCACGGCAATGTCTCACGCCATGTTTTAGCGCCGAGACACTACCGTGTCTCTAGATAATGATCTCCACGAAAACAAAACGATTTAGAAATCGCTGGTATCATTACCATAGGTCTGCTCGTGTTGCTTGCACTTTTGCACTCAGCATCTTCGCTTTCTCTTTTTTTAACGTTCAAATATAAAGATGATTCACACCACCTGCAGGAGTCGATATGTATATACATATTCCACATTAAGAAATGAATGAAAGATGTTAAAAGTAAAAAATGTTATGATGTCAATAGTTTTCAAATATTGAATCTTTGAAACCGTCTAACCATAGAGCATGAAGTTCGCGCCGTCAGGTGCGGTGCAACTGCGGCTGGCCATGCGAGTGCTAGTTGACGGTTACTAATAAACGATACGATATCGAACGACTTTTAAGTAACGACGAAGGTTCCGTGAATTTTTTGTTAACATATACTGCTGTATTCTTAAATTAGGCCAATTTAATTGTCGAGTTAAGTATTGTCACCATTTTTTACCAATTTAGACAGATTCAGGGAAATAACCAAAAAATAGAAACGTGCGCGCGTGTGCTCATAATACCGCAATTCAAGTCATCTTTTCAAACCTTTAAAGCACTACATACTAAGTTATATGAAAATTAGACAAAAGGAAAAATGTGTGCTTCAGAAAATCAAATGTTCAATTATTTATACAATCCTAGTAATTCTAATATATATCTAACCTTATTTTCCTTTTTTTTCCTTCTCACTCAATAGATACATATTTAATAAAAAGAAGTAAAATTTCGTAAATTAATAATTTTAAATTCGGGGGTTCTTCAAAAAAAAAAAGAAAAGAAAAAGTAAAGAAAATAAATAAAGTGCTTAGACTTACTACTTGTTGAAAGTGGGCCAAAAGAATGAGTCAATTGCTTTGGTAGACTTTGCCGGGTTAGGTGATCTTCGATCACAGTATAAGGATATACAATAGAGACAAGCAGCATTGGCACCTTTGATCTTTTTCAGATGAGTTCTCAGAGTTCATCAGAGTTTTGTCTTTGATGTATGATCAAATAGTATTAGGAACCATCGCTATTCTCAACAAAAAAAGCTGGAGATAGAAAATCTTAACTTTTCAGAATCTTCCACTAAATCGGTGATACATCTATGCACAGTCACGTTGCTTCATAAAATTAATTGCTGCAATCAGCTATTCAGGAGACACGCCAGCCCTGGAGTCACGCCAGCCAGGAGTCTCGTCAGCCTTGCCGCTAAGACAAGCGCAACAATATATCATGGCATGATTACAGTAACAGAGAAACTATGGGTTCTCTGCTTCGATCGGGATTGCTACCAAAAACATGGCCGCTTATAAGGCGCAAGCAAATATGCGCGGCTGAAAACGAGCTCTTGTCCCTACTATATATCCTTATACTGTGCTTCGGTGATAGAAAACGGTCTCGGCTGGATGTCTCGTGAATGTACCGAATCAGATCTCGACCGGACGACTTGGAGAAATATAAGAATACTACCGCATTAGATCTCAACCACACAGTCAATAAAAATTGACTAATTGGTCGCGGATCGACAGAATGTCAATTAACTGGCCAAATTTTAACTTACTCTGCGTTCACGAAGGGCCTTTTTTATCCGCAAATGAATCGGTTGTGCTGAATGGAGGTGCCGCGTATGTTATATAATGATCTAATTTAATTTAATTAGGATTAGTAGTATCGGTTACGAATTGGATACTGGGATCGGTGTCACTTGTGGCCTAAATTTTTAGCTCTCTAACTGTCAAACAATGTTAGTCATTTTCGTTATCGATCATTTGCCGGATGTTCAATATATCGATAGTTCAGAGTCGTATGTGTCATCTATTTCAAACAACCAATGCTGTTTCGATTTATAAATCCTTAATCTACACTACTTCTTTTGTGTGTTCCTTGGTAGACATCTCTTTTATTCGACACTTGTTCGAATATTTAATTTAGCAACATCCTCCCGAGCTAATTATTATTCTATAAGAGAGATCGTTATTCGACTCATTACTATCGCAACTTTCTGTGACAGAAATAGATGATTCACAGATAATACTTGTTAAGAATTTTATGCTGATGACGAAAATCCTCACCAAAGCAAAAAATTGTGGAATCTAGACGTAACATTTGTATATAAAGAAACGATATACAACACTATACAATAGAATGACGTTTCAATCAACAGGAATCACTTCGTTTCATCGTTTTGCGACAATAGCATTCAATCATAAAAATTGTTAGTATACATAATTACGTTGCGTTAATTGTCAATATATTTAAATTCAGTTGAAGATGGACCTGTGAGTTCCGGAACGTACTTTTTTGATGTAACACGATAAAAAATGTTTTTAATTGATATCTGTAATATTGTAGCTCGATTACTGATAGTTAGTTAATTTAATTTATTTGATACATTTTTAAATAAGTAACTATGTGTTTTCTTTACACCAATGTGAACGGTTAACGGCCTAGTTTACATCATCGAAACATTAGTACGTGTATTAAGTTTTAAGTGCACTAATGCTTTAATACAGTTGCGTTTACATCGAACGTAGTAAGAGAAAAAAGTAATGCAAATATTATCTTAATATATCATTTGAAAGAAACATAAGTCAATCATAATACCGATTTTAATTAAGATAGCTCTTAAGGGGATGCTGGAGTGACGGTCAAAGTTAATCAAGGTCGCGATAGTACAGACTTTTTTAAATTCCAAATTCGGTAATAGTGACATCTTTCATTCATTTCCTATACTTATTATATATCGTTGTGTCTCGCTCAAACGCATTCATCTGTCCTTGTTTAAAATATTGCAACGCCATCTCTTAGAAAGAGATCAACTAAAATACTGCTCGATTTCATGGCTTCACGTCAATTTTATTCGTAGCATACGAACGAAATTTTTGACGACTCTTTTCTCTTATACTAAAGCTCCTACCTCGTTTCTAAAAGCATAGAATTGTTCTTCGAGGTTTTCTGTAGGCTGCTGGCTACTTATTTTAAACGGGTAAAATCTGAAACTCTTATATGCAGCACATATTGTGACGAGTTGACTGCAGAAGCCGGTGACAAAACTACAATTTTTTATTTTCTTTCATTTTTCGTATTAAATTGTAGCTGGCAGCCTGTGTTGTTGTCGATACTTTAAATTGTGGAGAAGGACTTTTCAATCCATAAACACAATTAAGAGAAAAGAGCCTTTAAAAATTAATGGTAAAACAGGACACTCCAGCATCCTCTTAATAGACTTCCTCCAAAATGCGTTTCATGCATTTACGTCATTTATGTCATTTGGTACGCATCTCAGTTCAGTACAATACGCTCGTACCAAGTAGGAGTGTTGTACTGAACTGATTCGGCAGCGTTTATATCGTGCATACTAAATATTTAATATAAATTTGATACGAATATAGTACCTGATACGCATATCAAGTGCGTGATGTAATTTAGACCAATAAGAACGCTCATGTCATTTGTGTGCAATAAAGCATTATAGAAAGTTCACAAAAACTTTTCATTACTTAATTCCAAAACACTTGATTTGACAAGGTATTATATTTATCTACTTCAACACCGATTTTTATTGTAATGCTGAATAGTAATTTTGTCGTTTTATTAAAATATTGCTAGAAATATAGGAATTTAATATAAAATTAATTATAAATATAAAAATTTAAAGATGTTCGAATTGGCAATCTAATTCGCGAAAAAGATTGTAGTTCTTCATCTATAAATTTGTTCTTATATTCTTATCATCTTAAAAAGTTGCATTATAATGTACTTTTATTGTAATCGCAAATTAAAACGAAAGAAATTTTCTGATGGTAAACGTGTTTGCACAAGTTAAGCAAACAATCATTCTTATCTCTCGTGCATAAGAAGTATAACATATTCAGAGCTTACATATTTGAGTATTAATGACATAATTAAAGTATTAATGTATTAAATTAGCCGAGTATTCTCAAAAGTTTACATCTTGTGGCATTAAATAATTTATAATAGTTTAATGTTGAATTGTTTATTATGTTTGTTTGAAACAAATCCTTTTTGAAAAAAAAAAAACGATTTTTTGGTTAATGAATAAAAAAAAACGATTTTTACGATTAATGAATAAAAATTGTTAGCTTACAATTAGAATTCCAGTCGTATAAAGAGAATAAAACTACTGCTTCGTCGTTTCACTTATGTTCTGTTCTTCCAGCTTCTTGATTCTTTTCGAACGTTCATACACGATATGTTCTAAGTTGTTATAAAACTCCGAATTTACAGCAAAAAAGCGTTTGAAATCACGACGATGCAAGCGAAGCAGCTCGCACACTTCTAAAGCGATAACTGATTCTCCTCTGGGTTGATTCGGATAAATCAAGCCAGCTTCGCCAAAGTGATCACCATCGTGAAGATGATATATCTATAAAGAATATCTTATTACTTAACTGTAATTTCAAATAAAGCATAGAATAGAGCGCGGCTTTTTCGTTCATTTCTCACGATCGTTTATGTTTCTTAACAGCATACTGAACATTTAAAGGTCATACTTGTGTTCTGAAGCTGTCACGATTATATAAGGTAGTTATAAGCACATTATTGCAAAAAATTATAGTTTGCTGTAAATTTTATATTACCTTAAGGTTGAAAGTAACGAAATAGTCCGCTGTATCCTAAATTTGTTTTTTTGCTATATAAATATTTTCAGTTACTTCTTTCCCGGAGAATGTGATCAGTGCAACGGTTCCGCTAGCTATAAAATACATATATTCGCCTTCAATACTGGCTTTGTAAATTACATCTCCCTTGAGATATATCACTGGCTTCAGTGAATCTACGATAAATCAATTTATCATTAACATAAAAATCTTCAGCTTTCGAAAATAATAGTCAGAAGTGGAAAACGTATACAATAGTAAGACCGCAATTGTACGGACGTTAAAGCATGATTGTGACAAATGTTACACCATTTAGTATTACACGTTAAAATAAATATAAACAATAAATTAAATTTAAGAGACAGTTAAATAATAAAAATAATGATTTAATAAAAGTTATAAATAAAAAATTTAACAGTAACCGGATATTATTGGCGTTACATTCATAAAAATAAAATGACGATATAATTATGATCAAAAGAAGTACTTAGGAAAAAAATAGGTTACCCATTCCAAGCCATGTACGTATTTGATTAACTTCTGCGACTGTACGAGACTGATATATATTGTGATCACGAATACTTAACGTTAGAGATATGTTTATGACAGATCAATTTAATAAATGTTGTTAAAAAGTTGATCAAATATATAACTACAATTTTGACTTATTTTTATGTACGAAATAACATTCCTATATCTTATATTTTCTGTTATTTACTTAAAAAGAGCACAACTAGGTAGAAGAAGTCAGTTTGTTTTAGATAACATACATGTCCAAAATTAGAATATAAGATGTATTAATAACATGACGCTCCAAAAATTCCTTAATGTTTTTAAGGAATCTCGATTTTGTACATGATTCTCTGTATGAGATACTTATTTATAATTGTTACTTAATTAAGAAAAGTAATAATCAATCTTTATTAAATGTGATAGTAAAAATGGTAATTTTGTGTTAACATACGATCAAAAATATTTATGTCTTTAAATGTTATTATTTAATTGATTAATATCGAATAATGAAAAATGATTATTAATTGACATTATACCGATGATACTCAACAACTTAAATAATAAAGTTTGTATACAAAATTCAGTTAAAAAAGACTTTGTTTTGCAATTATTATTAAATTTGAGACAAATTATAAATGCATCCGATAAAACAATAAATATAAATAAACGAAAAATTAATGACTTGAGAAAACTTATTTTTAGATATCGATATAATAATAATAATAATAATATCAATTTAAAATTAAAATTACAGCGCAAGACCGAAATATTGTGTCAATGATACTTGAAATAATGTCTTTAATAAAATGTAAATATTAAAATAATTTCTCCATGTAACTGTCGTTTTCAGTTACCTGACGTTATCAGTGAACATGCCTAGTATTTCCAAATGAAGTGTGCTTGCTACCCGGGGTAGCAACAATTAGTAATACAATAGTAGTACAAATAGAACAGCAGTAACAACAAATATTATTATTATTAATACAAGAGAAAAAAATTACTTATTAAATCACCAAGAACATTACGGGGCAAATTGCGAAGGACCATAATATCTAACAGTCTTTGACTACCATGGAATAGAATTTCTTGATTTAAATGACCTAAAAGAGTATTGGAAAACATAAGAAGAAAATATATACTTTATAAGCTTATCATTTTAACATTTTAGGAATTAGTTAATAATTCAACCTTATTCATTTTTTCTTTGTTTTTAACTAACCCGAAAGAATATCAGATATAACATTCTCTTTGAAGAAACAGTCATAGTAGCGATACTTGTAATAGAAAATCAGCTTCTTTTGTAAATATAGCGGAAGCTTCTTCTGATGAATGTATTCTTTTACTTCGTGTACGATTCGTTGATATTTGAGTTTTGGTTTTACAGACGATTCCAAGAGTTGCAGAATCGTAACTGCGATCATAAGAACTTTCTTACTTTTGTCGAGTTAATTTTTTTATTTTATTTCTATTTGGGTAAATGTTTACTTTAGGGAACTCAGCTCCAATGACCTTGACATGTGTAGTCAAGGTCATGACCCTGAATGACCTCCAGCGAGTTTTAGTTGACGGACGTTATTAACAAAAAAAGTTTAAAAAAATAACGTCTCATTTCTGCACAACTTTCACGCGAAGCGACTCCATCCCACCTTTCCCTCTCAGCAGTGCTGAGTTCAGATTTTCACTCGAGTGTCACCCAGGTATCACTCCATCCTTATTGTTTATCGTACGTTAGACAAGAATGACATGACATCTGGGGAGCACCTAGATGGGAATCTGAACACGCCTCAGGGGGGGAGTTGCTTTTGCATGGAAGTCGTGCGCCCCTAAGCAGTAATTAAGATATTATTTTTTAAATTTCTTTTGTTAATAACTTTTTAACGAATAACGTCCGTCAACTAAACCTGTTGGAGGTCTCTCAGGGTCATGACCTTGACAATATAAATCGAGGTCAAGGTTATCGGAGTTGGGTCCCCTAAAGTAAACGTTTATCTATATTTGAAAAACGGCTAAAAGATAACATTATTTTAATAAAAACAAAAAAAATTGCTACAAAATGCAATATTAGAAATTTAACGTAACAAGAAATGACTTAATACCAATCAAATAAATTATGTAGCCTTTCCCCAAGAGAAGAAATATGCCTCTTATTATTGTGTCCAAAATATCAAAGTTTTTGAATTCTATAAAATTCGAACCTATAAAATTACTCATGCCAATATGCACAAACACTAAATAAACTTCCCAGTCGGATATATTATGAAGTTTTGTCGGAATATAATTTGCATCTGAATTCTGAAATTATTCCATATAAATAAGGAGATAGTGTATTACTATTTTTTATTTATTCAGTGCTTTAATACACAAAGTAATTAAAAAATATTCTTGACAGACCAATTCGCTTATAGAAATCACCGTACTTCCAAAGTTTTTTCTTGTACATGCATAACGATATATGGAAAAACGTAACTTATACAGCTATTCCAATGAAAAATTAATAATGTCAAAATAATGAACCATATTGTTATATGTTGAGCTTGAGAGATCCTAAAACTCTGTTAAAAAATAATACAAATTAATTTATTTATAAAATTCAAAACATTAATATTTAAATGATAATTAATTAATTATAAGTTACTGCATTGATGTGTTGAACGTTTCGTCGTACTGTAGATATGCGAATCAATTTTAAAATAGGCAAGAATTCAATTATAAGTAATATAGAATTTGAATTTGGACCAGGCGGTAAGATAAGTGTTGGGTAAAACCATGCATATGGTATCGAGCTGATAAAGTCAATGAAGAAATATCCTTTTATATAACGTCTGCTTAAATATGTAATTATATACAGTTCTCACTTTATATATTTAAATAAGTTGGAAATAGTGAGAAATAACGAATTTAATCTTCCAGACAACACCATGTAACCCAGATAGCTAAATCTGAAGAGACAGATTTTGTGAGCAGAGTCTGCTACCAATTTCTGATTGCAGAAAGGTAACAAATTGTACACAGAGTTTGTACTATCAGACAATGTCAACAAACTGCTGTCAAAAATATGACAAAGCCTGATGACAAGCTATACCAGCAAATTGGTAACAGAAACCGAACAGAGTCTACTAACATAACTTGACGGCAGATTGGCAGCAGAAACCGAGCAAGGTCTGCCATTTTGATATACGGCCTCGCTACGAGATGGATTTGCTTTTCGTAAGAAGAAAACATTCAAGAGTCCTGTATAAGAATTGGTATATGTAAATCAAATAGGTAAATCTCCTAGAGATTTCCAAGCTCTTCGGAGTGTGCTTTCTGAATCTTCAAATATTTTTTTGATTGTTTTATAACTTCCTTATGTGTATTTTGAAATGTCAAGCTAATCAATAATATTTTAGCAATAAAACTGTATTGATTGTTTCCAGTATATATAAATATATAATTATATATAACTGTTTATATACCTATATGTACGCAAAGTTTCTTATAAGAAACTAGGTCAATTTAAATGAAAATGACAGATCTTGCTCTGTTTCTGCTGCAAATCTGTTGTCAAGTTATGTCAGACTGCTCGATTTCTGCTCACAATCTGCTATCAGATTCTGTCAGCAGCTTCTGTTTGATTTTTGCTGCCAGTCTGTTTGCATAGAATGTTAATAGGTTCTGTCAGCAGAACAGGAGCAGAATGCGACATCAGTTGTAGTCAGTTTGCTAACATCTTCTGATCAAATCTGTTATCAATCTGTCGACATCCTGCTAACATTTTGCTATTTAGGAAGATAACATTATGTAACGTAAAGGTGTCATTTAATGATCTTTTAAACATCATACTGTAAGATATTTTTAAAACATTTTTAAGATGTTAAGATTTTGGTCTTACATCTCAATTTTGGACATACGTGCTGTCTGGATCACATATTATCATGGCACAATCACCGTGCTATTAGAGTAGTATCAAGAAAAATCTCATGTCCATCTGGAGATACAAATCCAGTAATAAAATTAAAGAACATGTCAATAATACAAACGGCGTAAATTGGATACACGATATTCCAATATTCAGGACCGCTGCTCTTTCCGATCCTGTAGAAGCACATAATATGTGGAACTGTTATAAAAATATATAAAAACGTCACAGTCATTACTGTGTCCCAGTAGAATCTACGATAACGTATTCTGTTACATTTGTATTCACAAAAAAGTCTAAGTTGATTTCTTAAATTTTCTTACCTTAACATACTACATGGATGAATCATCCATCGATAAGGTGATTTTGAGTGTCTTCTCTTTTCGAAAGCAACAGCTGTTTGGCTGCGTAAAATTAAACCTGTTAAAGGATGTCGTGTGGAAACAAGAACAAATTTTTGAAGATTTCGTTTCCACCGACTGTAGAACCTCGCGTTTGGGGGTAATTTCGGCAGATTGCTGCCGGATGTTCTCGGCAAATCGCAAATATGTGCGCGTAAATTCGCTCGTTTCATCAAGATATTCGAGTCTCGAATTGTCATTTCGTATGGATGGATCTGTCAATGATAGCAAGCAGGATAAGACGATCGCTTAAGATTTTAAGCCTTGCGTCTACGATGCTAGAAATCGGTCCGAGACCTCGGATGAAAAAAGAATTAACCAATCGCAATGGTCGTGAACATCGGGCTTTAAGGGTATATTCACACAACTTGCATAGTCGCATAAATGTATGAATAAAAAAAAAAATTATCCAATCACATCCCGGGCTATCACACAAAATGCATAAACATAATGTACCCAAACAGCATCGATTGTTGCGGAAAATTTTCAGAAATGTTTCAATCTTTCACATCTCATGTGCAGCAATTCTGAAAGGATTCTGCAGTATGTCATACGAAATATTGCAATTCGCACTTTCCCGTACTCTTTTCCGATCAACAGTTAAAATTCGACGAGCTGTAGTGCGCAAAAGGTAGTGACAATATAATAATATTATAATTATATACGTATATAATTACTAAATATCAATATACTATAATTTATGTTGACTAAAACACAACATATTAATATTTCAAAAACTTGAAAAAGCATTATTATGTAAATATATAATGTATATTTATTACGAATATAATATTCTTAAAATTATTTAAAATTCTTAGTATATCTCATAGTATACAGGGTGTTCATTTAATACAATATTTATATAATTCAAATATTCTTTTTTTTAAATAGTATAATTATTTCTTTTTATTTTTAATAATTACGTAAAAATATAAAAAATAAAAGCTAAAAAATTTATAAAATTAGAAAGGTTAAATATGAAAATGTTTATTTAGTAAATGTTAGTACTTCAATTACATATTATGTTAGCATTTTCAAATACATGTTATTGGTTTTTAAACAAAATTATTTTTGTGTGCTTATTTCTTATTCTATGAATAGTATTTTTTTAATTATCGCATTCGCGATGCATACGCAATGAAAAATATTTCGTAAGTATACATTATTTATGGTTTGATAATAATGATTTCCTAAAATTCCATGATAAAACATGTGATCATTGTTAATAAGTATGTTATTTGAAATTCTTTTCAATGCATCTTGACATAATATTAAAATAAGTGGTTTTTGATCATTTCTTAATATTACAACAACAAAAAGAAGTTACGTTTCTGCAATTTTGCAAAGTCTATAATTACACTTGTGACGCATTTATCAATTTGTCTTTAGATTTAATTTTTTGAAGTGAAGATATGGTAGATTCATAAATTAAGATTTCAGGGGTCCTATTCTCTCTTGAAAAGTATCGCATACGAAAAACTAGAGAAGTGCTATAGTATACGTAACGCATACTACAATATTTCCCTAGTTTTTCATATGCGATACTTTTCGAGAATAGGGGCTTTGAACAAATATCGCATAAAATTTTTTTTATTTAATAGATTTCATAATAAATCCTGCTATATAAAATATTACTTTATTAATATAAAGAGAATTACAATTTATATGTATAATGCCCATTTCCACCAATATAGATTAACTTTAATCTCGGTTCAACTTACTCTTCGTCTTTTTCTAATCTTTAGAACTAGAAAAAGACAAAGAGTAAGTTGAACCGAGATTAAAGTTAATTTATATTGGTGGAAATGGGCATGAGTCTCAGAGTTAGCATAACTATGTTTCGCAAAAACATTAACATATTCATGATCGTTTGTATGTGGAATCTATTAATTCGTCGATTGCGATTCATCTTTTTTTTCGTTCAGCGAACTCAACAGTTGAGTGAGCGCTCGCTGTTATTGGTGTATTCTTTTAGATCACCCAATCAGCATTTTAGATCTGAAAGAATACATCAATAGCAACGAGCGCTCACTCAACTGTTGAGTCCGCTGAACGCAGTCATTGATAATGCATTTAAAAATGAAGTAGTGTCTTGAGGTACACTATTGGCATATTCTCTCCCACCTATCTTACAATATACAAGTAATTATTTAAAAGCGGTTTGAAATTGTTGGCATATCGGATTATTATTATCATGGATTGTGGCCAAGTCTGGTGAATCGCAGAGAAATCACAGACAAAAGACAGTTCAAGATATGCGCGTCATGGTCTTGTGACATTTTATATGTTAATAAATAATCCCATTTATTTTCAGATGATTGTATATATTGGTAACAAATACCAATAACACTTTTTAAGCAAATTATGAAGCCTAAGAATCCAATTTTCCGTTCTGTAAGTAATATTGGAATATTCTCATCATTTTGTAAAGAAACAATGTATTTAATATAATTATCAATTTTGTTCACAATAATTGGAATATTGTCTTTTGATATACATTTTTGGGATTCAATGTTGCAAAATTTATTTCGTGAATTTAAAAAATCGAATATATCATTCATTACAAAATAGAATTGCGCTGTTAGTTCGCTTTCTTTAAATTGAGGCATTCTACACTCTTTATCTAGATAAGTTAAAGCATTTATAACGCTAGTGCAATGGTTTTTATATTACAAAAAATATATTCATTTATTATTTAATATCTTATATATAATAAATTTATATGTAAAAAACTTTTGAAGAACAACATATATAAACTTAAATGAAACATTGAATCCATTTTTGGGAATAATATAATCTTATACTTTTTAAGGAAAATTATATATTTACATAAAATTTATTATGTGTTCATAAGATTATTTTAATTTTACTTTTTTCTGTTACTTAGTACATCCTCTTTTCATAAATTGGATTTTGATCTGGATTAACTTTGGATCCTTTTTCAACGTTTTTTTTCCATTCTGTTAGAAATTTCTTCAATGTTTTCTAACCTGTTTAGAAATAAATTATATATGTACATTTCTTCTCATAAATTTAAAGTCAATATATGCAGAATATTCTATAATTCAACTACAATAAACTACTACAAATTACTCAATTATTAAATTATTTTTTATTGAGTAGCGTATTTATTTTATTTTTATAAATTACTACAAACAAATATTAATCATATATTTTATTTAAATGTAGATACCTCACATTATTTTATAATGGCATTTGTTCTTTATTGCACAATTTATCTTGTCAATCAAATTTCAGTAAGCGTCAAAACTGATTTGTTATATATTTTCTAACAGGGCGTATAATAGGGCGTAAAGTAAGTCCGTATGTGAATAGTTTAAATCCATTTCTTATGTTCTACTCTGTTGTTGCTTATGGACTTACTTTATGTTCTATTATATCGGAAAATCAGCTTATTCCCGATGTGTCTTACAGCCTTATCACTACTGCTACTGCCCATTGTAGACGACGCTTTGGAGTTATAGAATAGAATTAAGCAGTAAAACGTAAATGATAAGTGAATTGGCCAATCACAGAAAAGAACCATAATGTAAGCTGTAGCCAATCACACGTTGATTTCCATCTTGCTTACATTTCACTGTTTGTTTATGTGCCATGGTCCTAAGACTTAAGTAATAAGGAAATCAACATATTGGATTTGCTATTGCTGGTGTTATGATTTTACAGTCCCTACTGTGATTCATCGATTCGCTTACTGCTTAAGGGCTATGGCACACAAAAAATACTTAAGCAGTAAAACATAAGCACTAATAATTAGCCAATCGTTAATTACATCAATTATTAATAACGCCTCTAATCAGGGAGGATGTGCAGTGAATCTCGCTTCGTGTGAAAAGTCGAACACCCGTAAGCAGGGGGGTAGATCTCGCTTTGCGTGGAAAATTATTGCAAGGAAGAGAGGATTTGGGATAGCTCTTAACATATTATAACAGAAATAAGACGTTTTTTTAAACTCTTTTTGAATAATAATTTTTTAACGAATAACGAATGACGACTAAAAACCTATTGGAGATCAGCATCATGACCTTGATAACATTATATGTCGTGGTCATCGGAGTAGGGTTCCCTGATCGAAACTTTTACTTCATAACCAGTAATAAATCTAACACAATTTCTTTAGGGTGTCCGCACACACTTTTTATAACAGTAATCGTAAGACGTACCGTAAGAATTAGCCAATCACAGTCAGGAATTTTCAAAAACTTTCAGCTCTGATTGGTTAACCTTACGGTATATCTTATAATTATTGTTATGAAAAGTGTGTGGATCCCCTTACCGCTTACAAATCTTACCACAAAAATCCTTAAAACGTAAGATTTAAAACACACATTCACATACACACATACTTTTCACAAATAAATTTGTATACAAGTTTTTCTTTTAACAGTCTTATGATATAGCTCGATACACGGATTATCTAGCGGATCATCCTGAAATAAAACAACTAATCGCGGATTATATCCAGATTCTTCTTGTCGGTAATAAATTCATTCCCTAGATAAACTTTACACTCAATCTACTTCGACAAGTGGTATTTAATTTTTCATTATCAATTTTTCAGTAAAACCTGTCAATGTCATAGATTTCACGATACAACACTACAAAGCATTTGCCCAAAAATTGAAGATGTGGGATACCGTCGATATATTGACAATGTAATCTGATATTGACATAAGTGGGATAGAACTCGCTTTGCGTGAAAAGTCGTATTCCTTTAATCGGTCCACCCCATACCTCTGTTTCTGCCAAAAGTTATCTGACTTTTCATACAAAGCAAGGAAATAATTACTGACTTTGACTATTAATAATTTTTCAACGAACAGCGACCACCATCTAAAATCTGTTGGTCATTCAGGGTCATGACCTTCACAACATATGTCAAGATCAAGATCATCGGCGCGATGTCTCCTAAAGTAAATAATTACCTTTATTTATTATTAAAAAAATACAAATGCAACATAGTCTAAACTACACCAAAATATTTGGTTGAAATATACATAGTATTATCTCCATGTAAAACTTCCGATTTTGCACATATTGCATAATGAAGTAGTTTACCTTTATCATTTTCTGCCAGGTGTCATTTCTTTTTGCGAATTGCATATCACACAATTTTCCTGAAATTTAAGAGTACTACAGTAATCCATAAATAATAAAATAAAATCAGCATAGACGAAATATCATACATACAACCAAATCAAAATTAGGTAGACAATCTTCGTGAAAACAATGCTTACAATAAAATACAACTATATTCCGCGGCTCTAGAGAAAAAGAAAGTGAATTATAATCATGTAATTAGAATTATAAGTAACTAAAAAACTAATTATAAATACCTCTTACAATTATTTTCCTATGGCAAGCTCCACACATTTGATCATCTGCAAAGAAAAAATTTAATGATACTTTTTACATGAAGAATAGTTTACTGTATAATTCAATGATGTGCAAACCGCAGCCCGCGAACCGCATGAAGCCAATTAATTATCTGCGGCCCGTCGCGCTGGCTCATAATCAAAAATATTAAATGATATTTCCTATTTTACGTAAACTATGAAAATAATAACATTATGCCTAACAGTTTAACAGATTTATTTAATATACATTTTTAAAAATCTTTAAGAGTTTATCTATAGAAATGTAACTTTCATAAATAAATGACATGTTTATAAAACATTCGATTTTCATAAATTATATTGATCTTTTATTCCTGAACTATGTAAGATGGATATTTAGTTTGGATTTTTGTACGCCAAGATATGTAATTATGAGAGAGTTGGCTATGGAAAAGTTGAGGGTAGGATGGGGATTCAGAGCTAGGAGATATGATCAGAGGATTAAATCAGGGGCGGTAGGAATGCTGGGAAGAGAAGGAAAGAAATGGATGGAATGGTTTACATGGTCAAGAAAGGGAAAGGTATTACAACAGAAATCAGTGGGGAGTGGAGGCAAGGAAAGTAGTAAGTGGAAGGGAAGGGTTTGAGGAGGAATTGGTTGAAAGGGAAAGGGACGTACAGGGGCAGTGGAAAGAGGGTAAAATCAGAAATGCCAGATATAATGAGGGATATAAAAATTGTGGAATAAAAAAGGAAGTGCCGTCTTATTTGAGGCAGGAAAATTTAAAAGAGAGAGGAAAAGAGGGGAGCTCTGTTTAAACTAAGGTGTAGGAACTTGGAAGAGGGAAATAAGTATTGGATAGAGGAAATAGGAGGAAGTGTATACATTCTGTGGGGAGGGTAAGGATAATTTAGAGCATTACGTAAAGGATTTTGTAGAGGCAAAGGTTAAATTTACCGATTTAGGAGAAGAGAAAAAAGAAATTTTGAAGAGAGGATCTAGGATGATAATTTGGACGAAGTGAAGGGAGAGGTGTTAAGGAAATTATAGAAGGAAAGGCAGAAATTACTTTTATAAAAAGGAAGGAGAGAAAGAGGATAAAATACAATCGGTAGATAAATAAGTGGGTGGTAAATGTGGAGGTAGTCAGGTTGGAGCAGGGCGTGCGGGGGTTATTTAGAGAAAAAATGAGTAAACATAAGTATAGTGTGGAAAGGTATACATAAATAAAAACAAAGGAGATTTCTACAGGCTGTGGAATAGATTATAATAAAGAGAGATAGATGGATGTAAAAATAGATGCATAGGTAAATGTATACATAGTTGTATATATGCAAGTATACGTATGTAAGTAAGGTATAAGAGAGGATAGGATTTGTATGTATATTGTATTTGTATGTATGTGTGGATGGATAAGTGTGATAAGGAAAGAAATTGTAAACCAAGTCCCCTTCTTGGCAAATTTGTACACTGAATAAATTCTATTCTATTCTACTATGTGTGCGTGTACGTGTACGTGTGTGGTAACATAGCTCATAAAGCTGTAAATAATTCAATTGCGATGAAAAATTAATAAAATAATCGATTGTAGACAAGAAACATAGAAAAATCTACAGATGAAACAAAGAAATGGCAATACAAAAACAAAATGTAGGCAAAAAAATTTAAATAGCATGAAACGAAAAAATTTAACAGCAATATAGAAATTATAATTTTTTAAAATTATGATTTTCTGAATAACCTATGAAGAAAACAAATTACATAAGTGAAAGGAAAAAAATCTTGAAAAAATATACATGAAAAAAATGTAATAATAATTTCATGTGATGAGTCGTTTCTACATATATCGCATCGCTGAAAATCAAAAGTTTCTATTGCAGACACAGAATTTCAACAAGAGATCTTGGCATATCAAATCCAATTTCCTTTTCGACAAAAATTAATGACGGCGTTTATAAATACTTTCGAAGACAAAAAAATAATTACAGAAAAATTAAACGATTAGCGAAAAATTAAACAAAATTATCAAAAGGAAAGAAATTAAAACAGTTGAGACGGAGGAAGTGCTAAAGAAGGGAAGCTCCAAGCGTAACGTGTGAAGAAGAAATTAAAAAGAGTCCTTCGAAAATGTTTAAAATGCACGCGCTCTTGTTAGTATTAAATATTTATTCGAACGTCATTCCTCCTCCTATTCTACAAAGCGTCAATAACTTGCTTCTGATTACCCTGTTGCAATTTTTCTCTCCGATTTCCCTACTGTAGTAAGTTTCTCGTATCGCATACCTTGATTTCTCTTCTGATAAATCTCCTTAACGTCTCGAGAATCACTTTGCATCTCGGTTGCAGCTTCTTCATGGCATATGCAAGAGACAATGCGGATTGGGCAAAGTGACAATTTACTACAAGCGACCATGTGGATACGGAGCCGACAATGAGATCGCTGCAAATACGGCCGGCTTCTCGTGTCGCGTTTAACGCGCGTCTATCGTCGACGAGGCCTTCATAACCACGATACTCTGCGAACCACAAAAGTCTGTGTCACGCCAAGTGCGTAAATCACGCGGCTGATAGACGCGATGCGAGGCAATCCACTTTCTGGGGCGATATTGCCCGCATCCCTCGTGCGTTAATCGTGATTAATTCGGCTTATCGCCTTGCTAAACGCTAATCTTACGAGACAAACTCAACAGACCGATAAACGTGGTAAGAATTGGACGATCACGTATTGCAACGATCTCACTACCCATAGACCGTATCCCGTTTGTATTCAAATTCCGAATCAAATCCGAAACAAAATTCTAAAAAAAAAGCAATGCTCCCTTGCATATACCGTGAAGAGAGAAGCTGCAACAGAAAAATTAAATGATTAGCGAAAAATTAAAGAAAATTATCAAAAGGGGAGAAATTAAAATAGCTGAGATGGAGGAAGTGCTACAAAAGGGAAGCTCCAAACGTGACATGTGAAGAAAAAATGAAGAAGAGTCCTTCGAAAATGTTTAAAATGAACGCTTATTAGTATTAAATATTAGCATGGGAAAGAACTAAAAAAACGTGAACATTACTCTACGAGGTTTAATATATGTAAAAGGCCGGGATGACCACTCTCAGGTTTCTCTCTGTCAAAACTAATTTTTATTTTGCGTTTTTCTTCAAAGGGTATTTCATTTGGTGCTGACAACCCTCGCGTTTGAAATAGAGTCAAAGTAAAGCCTGTATCTCCCCCGCAGAGATTATCACAGGATCTAAAATCCAAATTCAATGCATGGTACTGTGACCCTTTTCTTGGGTCGGAAAAGCAGGTAACCAATAAGAAAAAGAAGAAGAAAAAGACAACCTTCGCGAGCATTATCTGTCCTTGTTTAACATTTGACAAACAACAAGAATGAAATGATTTCATGAGCGTTGCGAACGTCAAGTGGAATACACTTAAAAAGTCTCATTTTACTAAGGTGCAAGCAATTTTCCTGATTATGATTTTCTCAATATTTTGTAATTTGAGACAAAAGAAATACGTCTCCGATAGTGATTCCTGCTGGTCCAGGGGATCCTAAAGTTGTCTTTTATCGATTATCTTTCAAATAGGACAAGTATTTTTCTAACTACCTTTACAGATTGAAAAATCCCTTATTGCTTTATATACAAATTTTATACTTTGTACGTATAAAACAATTTTGATTTGGACTGCAGATTACATGAACACAATGTTGAGTTCTTAGAATTAGGTTTAGAGACCTAATATCAAAAAGTCGTTAGTTAGAAAATTTGTACGCGCGCGCGCGCGCGCGGGTGTGTGCGTGTGCGTGCGTATGTGCGTGCATGCACATATATTGACGTAGTAGTGCGTAGTAATATATAAATGATATATAAATACGTGTAAGTCCTATTGGATACCTATCATGAAACGAGTCGGAATGAATTCTTACCGGAATTATTCAATTATTCCCTAGATTTTTATTGTGTTTTTCCAGAGAAAAGGGAATAAAATTCCAATCGGAATCCATTCCGACTTGTTCCATGATAAGTGTTCGGATAGTTAAAATAGACGACTTTAGAATTTCTTTGAGTTTTTTTTTGTATGTATACCATAGCTCTTATATGCGCACTAATCAAAACTGCATACATGTAATATACGTATATTGAACTTCTTTAAAAACACAAATTTTTAATTTCCAGAAATTTTTGCAAAATTCCCTGACATTTTCCTAATTTCCCTGATTGTTTTCTATTTCCCTGACATTTCCCTGATTTCTAATTTTATAGTAACCTTATTTTTATTTTTTGGAATCAATGATTTTATAAAATTGCATACCATCGACAAATATGCCGTTTTGATGACAACGAACAAGTCGCTCGTGGAGATTGAAATAATCGTTAGACAGTATTTTTTTACAACCTTCCTGCACAGACACCTGCAGATTGTAGTCGCACATCATTTTAACCAATGCTTTCTTTAAGCCTGGAATTTCCAAAGTAGGTTCTATTCTTTGCACCATAAGTCTAGGATCAACGTAAGTGCCAATTTTTTGAAGAAGGAATGTAATAGCCGCTGAAACATATAAAAATTTATTTTGAATTAAACCTTATTTAATTAAATTTTATTAAATTTGAACTCTCTTTATTGAAACTTTAAATTCAAGCATCCAAAATGCTCTTCAAGGTCATTGATTTGATGCATACCAGGTTTGTCAAGTGAGTAATTAATTAGATCATTCCACAACTCTTCATCATCATGTTCCTGACAAAATACAATTGCACTTTCCATATCGTTTAGTTCTCTTGTCATGAGCGCCAAGGCTTCTGAAGTGTTTCCAATTCTGCCTAATAGATATACCATTTCTGGATAAAATCGACGTTGGCTACAAATATCCAGAGCCTGTTGTATCGGATAATTATCAGAGCGACGTAAAAGCGGTAATAACTTGTCTCTCGAATAATCGGCATACAATCGTACCAGAAGACCGTGGTACTTGCCTTTCGAATCCTTCGTGTCTCTCTTATCTAATGCATCTAGATACTGAAAAAGAACAAATTATATTATATTAAATCATTATTTTCAAAATTAACTCCCTATTTTTAATAATATATATTTAAGAAAAACAAAATTTGAAAAACCACAAAATATTAAATGTTATTCATAAATTGCATATTTCTCATATGAAAATTGTGTTATATTAATTCCAAATATTACCAAATATAAATAACGATGATTATGTTGCAATTTTTGTACAACCGTGTCAGACGGCACTCTGTCTTTTTCTAGAAAAAATTGTATGGCACGTTCTGTGTCCAGATCCATCAAACCTTCGATCATATCGTATACTGAATTATATAACTGATACTTTTGGATCAATTGGAAGACATCCTTGTGCCGCAGCTTCAAATACATAGCAAGCGCTTTATCGTATTTGCCGTCGTGGATGTATAAAATGGCTAACGCTTCTAATAATACGTTCTGTCGTTGATTGTGAACCAGTAAATGTTCCAATACGCCGTTAACTACCGCCGCCACTGTATATAAATTTGGAGACCATTCCTTGACCAAATGTAAAAAACCGTCAGGATCCATTTTTAGATATTCATATAGCACCATTTCATAGATTAATGGATCGAGAATAACGTCACCCCGAGGCAAGTAGGACGAAATTGAACGCAACTGATGCACTCTAGCAAATTTGTAAACCTGTCTCGAGACAAGAAAGAAGGCTTACGTCACACCAAAGCAAAAAAGTTTGATAGACACAAACTTAAATGTAACTGTAAACAGCAGTTTTTTGCAAAATGAGTATTAAAAATGCAATAATTTTGCAACATATCTCTTACCTCTTCCTCCCATAATTTTTTATTTCGTCCTAAAACTTTGAGACAAAGTTTTCCAGCTTCATCGTATCTTCCACATGCTAATAAGTGATCCAAATAAATACGCCCAACATCTAATACAGTATGCCTCTTACAATCTTTACCATTATTTGCTGTTACAGCTTCCAAAGCTTGCTCGAACTTTCCATGACTCAATAGCCATTCGATTCTGTCGTCTGTATCATATAAACTAGCCACAACAATATCCTTTGGACTAACAATAAAAAATCTGTAAAGAATTTTCCTATATAAAGGATAGATCGAATGGATAGATAGAACGAAATTTTAAACTCTTTGAGATAGAAAAAAGATAATTAAAATAAAAAAATTTTTTTTTCAAACTTCTTAAAAATGGGAAAAAATATTTGAATTCAGATTTTCGTTTCACATCTTAAATATCAGACAAATTTATTAATAATTTATGAATCATTGTATTACATATTAATATTCTAGAAAAGTAATATTTGTTAAAATTAATTTTTAGCATATTTAAAAATTATCTTAAAGTTTTTTATGGCACATATTTAAATTGATTTTAATCTTTTATTAAAATATAGGATTTTGAAACAAATTGCTATTGTCACCTCATACTCTTAAAGCCTTTAATTTTTTAATCAACTTATAAAATCAAGAGATATACAAATTAAAGAGTCAGAGGATTCAAATCCGAAATCTACCAACTATGAATGAACCATTCTCACATGATACCATGTATCAGTTCTCAAATTCATTTTAATATAACAATTTCATGATATTGATTTTATTTACCTATTTTCTTCTTTTAAACAGTCCAGATGATAATCATTGCAGCTGTATTCCTTGTAGCCACGTAAGGTAAGAGAATTTGCACATATTACTGAGAAATCTTGATATTTTGGTTCAACCACATGTAGAGTTGGGCGTTGATTCTTTCCATCTTCATCTAGCTCCTTTAGGCAACCCAATAATATTAACTGATTCTTCAATGGTGCTATACCGGATATATAAAAATCAACTTGAAATGTTGACACTGAAAAATAAAATGTAATTAAATAATTCTTGCATTCTAAACATTTCCTGTTATAATCCAAATTAAATCATAGGAATGAACTCTAAAAGTAAATCTAGATTTAACCCTAGAATGCTATTGTTGCATAAAATTTTACGTACAAATGAGCGAAATCGTTGGGCGCTAAGCTATGCCTTCATAGTCATTAGATCATTAGGAGGTCCAGTCTGCACTGCTAAAACTAGGACAAGCAAAGACAAGCTTTAAAATTTTTCTTATATATCTATCAATTTGGGTCATATACTTGATCAGTATTGTAACAAAGCACGATTTCAATTTTTAGTAGTTTTGTGCTATTATTATATATATATTTTTTTAAGTACAGGGTGAGTTATTTTAATCGATCACCCCAAATATTTCCGTTCCCTTGCATTTTACAAGAAAATGTTTCAGACAAAAGTTGTATGGTTTCGAGGGGAACATAAGATGGTATCATTGGTTTGACCTTGGGTGGTGTTGTCAAGATCAGACGAGGGTCACATTAAATTTTTTTAACGGAACCCTCCATTTTTTATTACTTATTCTTGTAGCTTACCTCGAGAGCTTTTCAAAACACTATAATAAAATATTTTTTTATTAAATACTTTTCGAGTTATAAGACTTGAAAGTCATAGTATGTGCCGGTATTAGCATTACCCAAGGTGTCTGACCGACGGCTAAAATCGGTTGAATGTTATTCAGGATCATTACCTGGATAACATTTGTCAAGATCAAGGTTATTGGAGATTGTTCCTCTTATTTTCACTTTTGCACTAAAAATTTATTTCTACGTAAAAATGAAAATAAGAGGTACAACCTCCAATAATTTTGATCTTGACCAATGTTATCCAGGTCGTGATTCTAAACAACATTCAAGAGATTTTAGTCGTTAGTCGGATACTTTGGGTAATACTAATTCCAGTACGTACTGTGACTTTCAAGCCTCATAACTCGAAAAGTATTTAATAAAAAAATATTTTATTATAGTGTTTTGAAAAGCTCTCGAGGTAAGTTACAAGAATATGTAATAAAAAATGGAAGGTTCCGTTTAAAAAATTTAATGTGACCCTCGTCTGACCTTGACAACGCCACCCAAGGTCGAACGATACCAATGATCTTATGTCCCCCTCGAAACCATACAACTTTTGTCTGAAACATTTTCTTGTAAAATGCAAGGGAACGGAAATATTTGGGGTGATCGATTAAAATGACTCACCCTGTATATAAGAAGCACGTGTGCAGGCAATCAGACTACAAAATCCATATTATTTCAAGATTGAATTTGATAAATGCTAATTTTTTCTTTTCGTCATTTAAATTAATAATTAGGTTATTTGTGTTTAAAAAAATCTAGATTATAAATATTTTGTCATATTAAAAGCATAAAATGTATTTAAAAAATGTATTATAAGAACAACCTATTTCTTTGTACGTAAAATTTATGTGTTGATAACAATTATTCACTCAATAGCGATAGCATTGTAAGGTTAAAAACACGAAAAGATGAATAAACTAAGGCTGCGTTCATACACATCGAATGTCTCCTTGCTTAACATTCATTAAATAACAAGGATAGAATGATACTTGAAGACACTCGGTGTGTATTCTCGAATGCAATTCAACAGTTTGTTTTATAAATACCGCAAATACAGACGGAGACTTAAATTTATACTGACAAATATATTCTATTTCTTTACAACGTATCAAAGTGAGATCACTCACAATTATATATATCTCTCTAAGTATTTTATTTATAATATTCGTTCTTGCTAATTTAGTCTGAACTCATCCCAATATTTTCGCATTAAAAGGTATTTTTAAAAAAAGAATAAATACACTTTATCGATTACCTGGATCCACTACAAATTCGGGCAAATCTCGATTGACCATTTCTTGCATAGTACGTTTCCTAATATGACAGATGCGCACAATATCTACCCATCCAATCAATAGCGTCTTGTCGTCTGACCACTGCAAATTGCACCTATAGTGTTCTGGTGATACCCTGCATGAAATAATATACAAAGCCCACATGAAATATATAAAATACTTTTATGTGCTATGCTGAAGTACAAAATACAAAATACAATTGTGTTACAAATATTGTTATTCAAATAAAAGTATTTCAAATACATGCCCAGCCCTGATTGTATATACGCTTTTCTGCAATGCTTACTCTGCAGTACAGGACCACTTAATAAGTCCCAATGAACATCTAGCATCAAGATCATAGACTCTCACGCCAGTATCAGAAGCCCATGCAACAAAGTGACCGTACCATGCAACAGATCTGACTCCACCCTCTGCTTCACAAAGCACTGTTGGCTTCATCCTAGCCAGAAAAGTCTTTTCATAAAGAATTAACTTGTCATCGCCTATGGGTTACAAATATTTATTTATTTATTAAAAATTGAAGTTAATATTTCAAAAATTAATTTTTATTATAAGCTCCAAAAGATCATGTATGCTATAAAAATTTAAAAGATTAAAGAGATTAAACCTGTAATAAATCTTCTGCCACTACCACTTTTATAATTTGGGTCAATTGCTATACTCTTGACTAGCCTACCCATGCTCATATTATGATTGTTTTCTGTACTGTACAATCCATAAATAAAAACCTTTCCATCATCACTGCAAGAGGCAATAAAATCTCCATTATAGTCGATGGATATCTGATTGACTGCTACTGTGTGAGCCTGTAGCATTTTAGATTTTATATTATTTCCTTGATGGTCTAAAAGATGGATCATTCCCCAATGTGAACCCAGACAAAGGAACTATACCAAAAGAATAAAATTAATTTAAAAAATTAATATTATTTTATCTGTATCCATAAAGTATCCATAAAGTTAAAATTATAATAAGATAATTGTTGAGTTTAGCCTTCTCATCTTTGATGTTAATAAAATTAGGATCATTCGACGCATTTTTGCACAAAATAAAACAAATCTGGCAAAAAAAGGTATTGCTCTACCCTGTGGACTGAGATATTAACCATTACAGTTGACTACTATTCAGTTTAGGAAATCTGTCACATCAATGGCATAGATAGACCATGAGAACTGTGAGGTTAAAAGAAGTATTTTTTGCTTCAATTATACAAATTCCCTGCTTTAAAAACAAATTCTCTGCTTTAAAAGCACAAATTCTGTTTTAAAAGCACAATACAAAAATACAAATTTCCTGTTTTAAAAACACAAATTATTTTCTATATAATTTTTGTTTTTACAACAGAGAATTTGTTTTGGTTAGGTATGTGTCTGCTTCAAAAACACAAATTCTCTGTTTTAAAACATAGATTCTTTGCTTTAAAAACAAATTCTCTATTGTAAAACCAAAAATTATATAGAAAATAATTTGTGTTTCCAAAGCAGAAAATTTGTATTTTTCAAGCAGAGAATCTATACCATTGATGCGACAGATTTCCTAACCTGAATATCTGTCAACTTTAACAATCAATATCTCGGTTCACAGAGCAGAGCGATACTTTTTTCCAGATTCGTTCAAAATCGTGTCGAATGAATCTAATTTTATCGGAGGTGAGGAAACTAAGGTCAATAATGACCATTAAAAAATTTAATACACTTAAAAATTAAAATTCTACAATTACTCATAGATGATTCTTACTTTTGGATGTACAGCAATGCAGCTAGCTGCATCATTTTGCAGGATATGTTCCAAATCATTTCGTATCCTAACATATTTTAATCTAGGTTCCGTCTCATCCATTTCTGAAGAGTCTGAATCTTCCTGATTATTCTGTTCATCCTATAATTATAATTTCCCATTAGAAACTATAAATTGTACTATATATGCAATTTCATTATTATTATTCCTTCCTTATGTTAGACATAAGATTAATAAGTAATAACTTTAAAATAAATTCTAAAAAATTGTTAAAAACTAAAAAAAAAATAATTTGAGGAATGAATAAAGAAATTTACTATTTTAGAGATAATGTTAGAAAAAATATTACATTACACTGAAATATAAAAATGCAAATAAATAATGCAAATAATATAAATGCTCAATATAACGTAATGATAAATATTGTGTGAGAGTTAAGAAATGAACTTAATAAATCGCGATGATACTCACTTTACTAGACGTAGATTCCATTCCTGCTTCTCGATCTTTGTAAACACAATATGACGAATCAAGTAGTAGCGTCAAAATCTTTTTTTTTTTTTGTAAAAATTTTGTTGTCGGCGAAGACCTCCGATCGGAAGCAAAATGTAGAGCCACTCCGCGTGGTACTTTAACAAATTTAGTAAAAATAAAATAAGGCGAGGTTAAGTGTAATAGAAGCTTTTAGAGGTGTTGTTGCTGGTTGAAGCTACTGCTGCTTGTTTTAGGCCCAATCTACACTGATCGTATCATATATGATGCAAAGGTAGAACCAGATGTTCCGTTGCACACAATGGCGATAGCAATACTGGAAACAGCCAATCAAATTTTTGCCTAAATTGACTTTCCCGCGTATAATAGCGCTGGCATATTGGAATAGCCAATCAAATTTTTGCCTAGGTTCACGCTGCTACTGCGCGACCACGAGAATTCTGTATCTTCAAACAAGGTGAAAATTACAAAAGTGAACAAATTTACTAGGTGTTGACCAATGAAATGATCAGTATTCTAGTAAATTCGCTCGCTTTTGTAATTTTCACCTCGTTTCAAGATACAGAATCGATCTCCAGCCCCCTGACACGCCCATAGTTCCGATGGCTATTTAGGACTGCGTTCGGGGAGCCACTATCAACACTACCAACGCAAACGCTACTAATGATCGCAGCACACGCTCTTGCATAACGCATAATGCCGGATTCACATTGCGTCCGATTTGCATCGTACGGTCACCTGCAGCCAATCAGAAAACGGGATTCCGATGGATTTTGATTCGTATCATCGGAATCCAGTTTTCTGATTGGTTGCAGACCGTCGTATGATGCAAATCAGACGCAATGTGAATCCAGCATAATAGCCCTTCTACAATAAAGGCCACAGCACAGACTTTTGCATAACGCATAACGCATAGTGCATAAACGAATCAACTAATCAGAAGCTTTCCTTTTCTCCCATTCCATGGAAAAGAAGAATTTTTATTGGCTGATTCCTTTATGCATTATGCGTTATGCAAGAATCTGTGCTGCGGCCATAAATCAGTGCTGGCAGTAAATTTTGGAACATTGCCGATGTAAACTAGGCAATAGGCTTTAGGGAAGTTCGAGAGAATTCCATGCTGCTCTAGAGTGTTAAAGGCATTTGGCAAGATTGCTGCCCACAGTGATCACTGATCACCTCAGACCAATCAGATCACCCAGATCAGCACGGTAGTTTTCGATGGTCTTTTCTTAATCGATCGAACATGATTTTAAACGCTGTAACGAAAGCAGTTCCTGCTTCCTTGAGAGTTATTAAACCTTCTCTTTTGCAAAATGAAATCACTAAAGTGTCAGGCGTCCTCGCTATCAACAGTGAGTACACATTTTTCGATTTACTAATGGAATAATCTCGGCGATTGGCGTGACATATTTTGTTGAAGTATTTGTCTGGATTCATTTTGATGATAATATTCTATGAAAAATCGAGTAATTCGGAATTATCGACAACTATCCCGTTCATGACAATCGATACATACTGAATTTCGTACGGACCATTTGAAAAAAATTATTTGTTGGTTATATAATCGGTAGTCGATTGGTGTGAATTCCATTTAACAATATGGCGATCTTAACTTGTTCTTTATTTATCTCATTCATAAAATTCTGCGAACAGGTAAATGTTCAGTGCGATTATAAACGGTGTATTTCTCAGTGTCTTGATCGGGAAGAAATATTTCGTTACATAGAACATTTGTTTTTATAATTTGTTTGACAATGATTTTGGAACAACTGTCGATTGCTGTCCTTTTTTTTCGATATTTTTTCTTTTTAATTATATTTAATTATATTTTAAAGAGCATATTTCGAAATATATGTAAGAATTATTTTGTAAAGGTTTCAAAGAATTAATTTTGATGGTTATATATGTTTTTATGTTACATAACGTATTCCTCGAATTTGCAGTGTTCCCAAAGTTTTTGGAGTAGATTGAAATCAACTTCTTTTAGAACAAATAAAAATATTTAACGTATTTATTTATGGAAATATATATCTATAGATGGAGTTAATTCATTGTGATTGTCAAAAAATAGTTTTATCTAAAAGTGTTATTCTAGAACTAGAATATTTTGTAGAATATTAAAATCTGGATATCGATCATGTAACATTTTCTCCAAGACAGAAATGTGATAAGTGAAAATTTGTGTGTGTGTGTGTGTGTGTAAATTTTCATTATTTTATTCTAAGGAAAAAATAGGTCTGTTCGTGTTGCTTGCACTTTTGGCACTCGACATCTTCGCTTTCTCTCTTTTCAAGACAAAATATGTATATCTCATTTTAAGTGCAAAAATATTTAGGGGTTTCTTGCATCACAAACAGACCTAGTTGCATGATTGACCCCCTGATCTTTTCCTAGCAATAATTTGAGCATTACTTGTTCCAAAGAAAATATTTAATCAATTGTATTTTAGCTGTGTTTGATTTTGCAAGTCGGAGGCATTTGTTCGCTCTTTCACCTCGAAAACTCGTTTGGCAACTCGCACCTTTCTGCTGCATATTATCTCATTTGCGTTCGATATTAACATTTCGAGAGTTAATTGAGCTCTTCGATCTGGATTCAAAGACTATGCTCGCAGAGCTAATGCAAGTTTTCGCACCTAAATTATCTATTAAATTATCTTGATTTCAGCGATGCATGTAAACATATACACGATATGGCTATTTAATTAATCATATAGATGCATATTGTACCAGCTCAATACTTACATCATTCTTTAAGCGTATTGCCGAAATTAAGATAATTTTTAATATAAAGTTACTAGTTCCTACGTGTACCAAGTGCTCGGTGTAAACTAGGACACGAAATGAATTGAAACCGTACACAGCATACACGTTCTGTTCCAACTGAATCGTGCACAATGCTATATACTTTATGCATTCCTGTATATACACGTTTGTGTCAAAATGTGTTAAAACATTGAAAAGCACCTGTTTGTCTAAAATACATTATGTAATTATTAATTATTATTACTACTGCTATAATTATCACTGAATCTTAACATATCTCACAAAAAATTAACAAAAATTGGTAGATTTTTTCTTTACTTTTTGGACGTGTGTGCACAATTTCTTTTTAGATGTATATAATTATATACAAATTTTTTGAGGTTTAAATGTAAAATTTAATTATCTTAAATATTAGGAAGAGACTATGCTGCCAAAGCCGCAGCTGCATCCAAAGGTGGTGCACAAGGAAAGGTAGTTGCTGTCATTGGTGCTGTTGTTGATGTACAATTCGATGATGCTCTCCCACCTATACTTAACGCTTTGGAGGTACAGAACCGTACACCTAGACTGGTACTCGAAGTCGCCCAACATCTTGGAGAAAATACAGTGCGCACCATTGCTATGGATGGTAATATTTTGTGTATATCATAAACGCAATATGTAAGAGATTTATATAAATTTAATTATAGATCTAAAATAGCTTACTAGTTAACTAACAAGTAACATTATCCAACTATTACTCACCAATCTGGATGAAACTATGCACACTTGCTTAACATTGTAAAATATTAAACCTGTGTTTGTCTATTTTTTCTCAAAATGAATTTTAAGGGTTGAAACCTTACCTTGATTTTGGGAGGTTAATGTCAAGGTCGTTTAAAGGTTAAGTTGATTTTCATAATGCTAACTTCAAAAAACAGCAAAAATAAAACAAAAATCAGGATTTAATGAAGCGACACAGCTCCAATAAATATATAAAGAACATCATTACATAGTTCTTCATCAACTCTACAACTTTTGTTGGAAACATTTCGTTGCCACCTATATGCTCGGAGTAATTCTCATGGCGAGGTAACACATTTTTGGGGGTGGTTTCAACCCTTAAAATTCATTTTAGGGGGAAAAATAGAAAAACATGGCTTTGATATTTTTTTATGTTAAACAAGTGTGCATAGTTTCATCCAGATTGGTGAATGACAGTTGGATAGTGTTACTTGTAAAATTTGCTTCAACCAAAAATAGGTATTTCTCATATTTAATTAAATTTAGTCTTATTGGTCCTATTTTGGAACATATATTGTTTAAAAATAAACAAATAATATAAAAAGGCTATGAAGGCTACCAAGCTGAATGTTTTTGCTAGTAACTTTTATATAAACAGATCAAAATTGATGACATATTGTTTAATTATTGATTTCTTGTGCATAAATATAAGTTGACATTTTGTCGATTCAATAATAAATCACTCTTACTGTTAAAGGTACGGAGGGTTTGATACGTGGTCAAAACGTATTAGACTCTGGATTCCCTATTCGTATTCCTGTGGGAGCTGAAACCTTAGGCCGTATCATCAATGTAATTGGTGAACCCATTGATGAACGTGGACCTATTGCCACAGATAAGTTGGCCCCTATTCATGCAGATGCTCCTGAATTTGTAGACATGTCCGTTGAACAAGAGATTTTAGTCACTGGCATCAAAGTCGTGGACTTGCTGGCTCCCTATGCTAAGGGTGGAAAGATTGGTATGACATAATTTTCGATAGTATTAGAGCTTTGAAAATATGTAAAACCCAATCGGTTTTGTTTAGTAATATTATTGGAATTATTAATTATCCATCTTAATATTATGAATTATTTTAATATAACAGGTCTATTTGGTGGTGCTGGAGTCGGAAAAACTGTACTTATCATGGAACTAATCAACAATGTGGCCAAGGCTCACGGTGGTTATTCAGTGTTTGCTGGCGTGGGTGAAAGGACGCGCGAGGGTAACGATCTCTATCATGAAATGATCGAATCTGGTGTAATTTCTCTCAAGGACAAGACCTCTAAAGTAGCACTAGTTTATGGGCAAATGAATGAACCACCTGGCGCCCGCGCCCGTGTAGCTCTCACTGGTCTTACCGTCGCCGAATACTTCCGTGATCAGGAAGGTCAGGATGTACTGCTGTTCATTGATAACATCTTCAGGTTTACTCAGGCTGGTTCCGAGGTAAATAGAAATAATTTATTTAGTAAAGAGAGGATGTTAAGTCTCAAGCGGATTCAAATGATATATCGCTTATTTTGGAAATGGGGAAACATCAGGATCGTGGAAAAATTTGGCTTTGAAATTCTGAGATTTAGATCTAAAAAAGTGATTATATAGAATTTTTTCAATAAATACTGTATATTTTTTCAGGATATATAGTAGTAATGCATACTGGTATTAAAAATATTAAAAAAACAATGACATGACGCTTTTCATGTTTTATTAGAGCTGCGTTCCACTTGACGCTCATAACGCTCACTACCATTATTTATCCTTTCTTTTTTATAAACAATAAGGATGAAATGATTCAACAAGCGTTAAAAGCGTCTAATGACACGCCAGCATATTTTATTCCTACTACACTTTTGGTATATGTATAAAAATTATAAAAAAAGTAGTGCTATAATGAATACAGAAATTATATCTTATTGCGTTATATAATTGTAACGTCAAATTGTACGTCTTGCCATGTATATAATACTTCTATATTGCTAGCGCAGCCTTTTTTGAGAGTGGGAGGTGTGCAAAGACAATGAGATAGAGAATAATTTGATTTCTCACTTACATACATGCAGATAAGATTGGTTAGGAATACGCGCTAGGAATTGAAGGTTTTAACTACACTATCTAAGCGAAAGGTAGATATCGTTCGCATATATGTAATACTACTATATAAAGGTTATGTGTTTCGCGGGTTTCCTCTGTGTCCAGATCCATTCTTGAGATGCCAACGTTTCGTGAATCTTGCAGTCCACTTCATCAGGGCGAGGGGCAGCCTGATACTGGCAAGAATCAAGAATGGATCTGGACACTGAGGAAACCCGCGAAACGCATAACCTTTATACAGAAAGCACCCGTGGAAGCCTCAAGAATGTTATGTAATACTACTATATTGCTAACGCAGCTCGAAACCTGGCGAAAACACCACGGTGCAAATGATATCCACCGCTCGCTTAGAGGGCAGGCGTTAGCGTACATGAATGAATTCATCGTAATATATGTAATACTGTTTAACTGGGTATCATTATTTGATGCATTATTGAAATCCTACATTTTTCTATGACATATTTTTTTCAAATATCTTGTTTTTGAGATACTTCATCGGTTCGGAACTTTTTGTCACTTCGTATGATGTATATGATACATGTTTTTAGGTATCTGCTTTGTTGGGTCGTATTCCATCTGCTGTGGGTTATCAACCTACATTGGCTACTGATATGGGTACTATGCAAGAACGTATCACGACGACGAAAAAGGGATCCATCACCTCTGTTCAAGCCATTTATGTACCTGCTGATGACTTAACAGATCCTGCTCCTGCTACCACTTTTGCTCACTTGGACGCTACAACCGTATTGTCACGTGCCATTGCTGAATTAGGTATGTATCTCTTGGTAAATTATACTACTCGCATTACACTGGATTAGTATACATATAAAGTATCTAAATACAGTAACATGATGAAATTAATTTTGATAATGAAATAATACATGTATATTCTATACAAACTTAAAAACAGCTGCCATTGTCTTCTACACAACTAGTAGCGGCAGTAACGCACTTATTCAGATTCTAACCAATCATATTAAATTGACAAATAAAGTTTAAAATATGTAAAGTAACTGAAATTAGATACTAGTTATTAAAAGAAATATAACTAAGTTAAGTTGCAGCTACAGGGTTGAAAAAGAAGGAACAAAGTTAAGTTAAAGTTATTGGAAAAATAGTAATTCTAACTGTAACTTACTGTAAGTTATAAGTAACTAATTATTTTCGAACCCTGTCTTTTAATATGTACTAATTTAGTAATGCAAGATCGAATTTGCTATATGAAAATTATCTATTGTATCACAGTCAATAATTCTTTGAGTATGTATTTATTGGCATGTAGGCATTTATCCAGCTGTCGATCCTCTTGACTCCACATCCCGTATCATGGATCCCAATATAATCGGCACAGAACATTATAATATCGCACGTGGTGTACAGAAGATCCTTCAAGATTATAAGTCGCTACAGGATATCATTGCAATTTTGGGTATGGACGAATTGTCAGAGGAAGACAAGCTGACAGTTGCACGTGCTCGTAAAATCCAAAGGTTTTTGTCCCAGCCATTCCAGGTGAGGGAAAACATGATACATTGTAGGTGTGTTGAGTGTTTCACTAGGTAGTCTTGGCTTCCTAGCCTTCATAATGCTCTCAAGCATCAATTGCGCTTTAACATTTGAAGTACATAAATATTAAACAAGAATGAAATAATTACATGATCGTTGCTAGTACAAAGACGTTATATACATAGGGGTTTCTTTCACCAACCCCTATTAACGTTGATCGATAGTTAACTCAATCATCACGATTGCCAACGTGAGAACTAAACACAGAAGAAGAAGAGAGAGGAAATGTTCTGATAACATTAAACTGTTGTTGGCACTTCTGCGAGTTTGATCGTCGATTAATTTAACCAGAAGTTGGTGAAAGAGGCCCATAGAATAGGGGAAGCCAAGAATGCATGAGCGGATATCAAGAGGGCTTGTATTCTGTAATTGTATGTATTTATAACGACAGGTGCGCAGCTGTTTTATTATATAAAATATCTACGCAAATTTCTGTAACTCGTTATACAGTGTTTTGAGCACATACAGAAGAATACAGACGTAGATCGTTCAAATCTTAAATATCCAGACAGTTGATACACAAAAAATTGTGACAGAAAATTGCCATATTATTTGCGATCCAGAGGTCACGCATGCACATTTGCGATCCAGAGATCACATATGTGCGTGCGTGCGGAAGGCGGGCGAGCGAGCAAGCGCGCACAAGGTGTCCCACAATTACCCCCGTCTTTTTAAAAGTGGTTTTTGAGATGAAAATATCGAGGCTATAATAGCTTTTAATAGCAATTACTAACGGAGCTGATATTTCACGCATTCAGGCATGACGGTATGACAAGTGGTAGACAGGATTGCCACAGACCTGAAAACCCGAGAAAAGCCAGTGAAATTGAAATTGGTCATGGAAAATCGGGAAAAATCAGGGGAAAATGTAAAAGTGGAATTTTGAAATTTTCTCACAATTTCATTAATCTACTTCTATTCCAAATAATTATTAAAATCTTTTAAATATTATATCTGACAAATTTATGAGCAAATACGTTCAAAACTCGCGCACTTTGAACAATTTTAATAAAATAATTAAAATTTATATTTTTTATACAGTTTGTTTTTATTTGTTATAACTGCACTCTTTTTTTATAATACAAATTTACAATATTAATTTATTTTTTGTTGGTTTGAATTTGCACGCAAAATTTTATTATGTTACTAAGCTTCTTTTGCGTTGTTTTTAATAATATAGGCTAGCATTCCTACCTTTCTTAGAATCCTTGATTTTAAACGTTAAAATTTATATATTTTAAATGGTCGTGGAAAATTTTTCATTTTTATCTGGAAAACTGGAAAGGTCAGGGAATTTAAAATTCGTTTTCTGTGACAACCCTGGGATGCAAGTAAACAAGGTGTGTTCTTGCGCATGTTTAATTGCTACAGCCAATTAGAGCTTGACCTTTTATTCCGCAGTTTTTCAGCAGATTTTGTTTCAATACAGCTGCTATGATAATGAAAATGAGTTCCATTCATAATAAATAATCATTACTATTTGTAATATGACAACCTTTTACACAATATGTCGACATTACTACTTATTACTTATCAGTTATTTATTTTTTAATAATTAATAGGTCTGTTTTCTGTGGCTGAACTAGTGTACACTTTAGGAACTTAAAGTGAGATAGATATACGTTTGATATTTGTCGAAAGCGAGAAAAAGAGTTCTAGAACAATCTAGTGCAGGAACAGAAAACAGACCAATTGTAGTAAAAAAAAACTTGAAAAATGATAAAAGTATAAAAATTGATTAAATTACATGAAAACATGTGGAAATACGTTAAAATTAATAGAGAGAATAAATCGATGTCATTTTGATAATTATTCGAATTAACAGACACCACGCTGATGACACCTTGACCTTAACATATGTTGTCAAGGTCATGACTCTCAGGGACCTTCAAAAAATTTTAGATGCTGGTTATTTTATGATATTTGCGTCATGGTATTTCGATTTCTAATTTACTTAATACGGCTGCAATATTTCAAATCACAATCGGCTCATCTATTACGCATTCGATGATTCTAATGTAAACGTAAAGTTGCTGTAAAATGTATGTACATTTGTCTATCTGGGAATTTTTCAACGAAAAAAAAATTTTTTAATTAATTTAATTTTTTGTTAATAACTTTTTAACGGATAACGAGCAACAGCTAAAATCTCTTAGGCCCGATTTCACAATATGTGGTTACCTGAAGATTAAAGGTAACCAAGAAATTGATGAATGAATTTCATTGATAAATCTGCTGGTAATCTTTAATCTTTAGGTAACCATATATTGTGAAAACGAGCCTTAGAGGTCACTCAGAGTCAGAACTTTGGCAACATATGTCAAAGTCCAAATTATCGGAGAGATTTCCCCTAATCGGCATATTTATCTTCACTTTTACATATGGTGGGATTGAAATCTTGCACACATTACGCACACAGTCTAATATTTTGTTTAATAAGCAATTTACCTAAATTTTTTTTAGACTACCTAAATTCAGTACTTTATTTAATAATGTGATATGCATTAAAAATTCGATTATAATATTTTAGGTCGCCGAGGTGTTCACTGGTCATGCCGGCAAACTAGTACCATTACAAGAAACTATCAAAGGATTCCAGAAGATTTTGGCTGGAGAATTGGATCACTTACCGGAAGTAGCATTTTACATGGTTGGTCCGATTGAGGAAGTAGTAACAAAAGCGGAATCATTGGCCAAACAATAAATTAATTTAGTCATCTTAAATTGTTAACATTTTATTCAATCATCATTCATTTGCAAAAGCAACCTTCTATTATATGATTGGCACGAATTGGGTAATGCGGTTTTAACTGTCTTGGTCAAAATTGATTTTAGGTACCTATCCTCTCTCTCTGGTCAAAATGTAGTAAATTTTATTTTGCCCTACTGTTATTGGTTGTGTCAGAATTTACTGTCAGCGCTGAAAATACTATAATTTACGTTACGTGCACTATAGATTTTCAATACAGACAGTCAATTTTGGAACATAGCCATTATAACATAGTTTTTAAGCTAATCCAGCCCAGAATTAAAATAAAAATAAAAGAGTAAAAATTAGATCAAACTAACTCAGAAAAAAACATTTTATTAGATATTAAATAATAAGTTGAAACAAAACGAACATTATTGTTATTGCATATATAAAAACAAAATAATACATATTTTTAAAAGGTCCATAGTTTTAGCTGGGATCCAATCAAATTCTGGTAGCAAAAAGATTAATACGGGTAATGAGGATCTGTAATCTTTTTAAAATTTCTATATTGCTCTATTCATATTCATATTCATTTTCCAAGAAAGTAATATAATTTTCATAGAAACGTCAAAATAAGGCTTTAACAGAATTTTAAGAGTGCATTAGTACAGTATTGCCATACACGAATGCACATACGTGAAAAAGTGACTCGTCTAACAACATTGATTACTGACACTACACTACTATAGCTACGTTCCGATATTCACTGCCAATATTGAAAATTTATAATATGCATTACATACACTATAGATCTTTAACACGAGCAGTGAATATCGGAACATAACGTTCATCGGCGCTTTCAGGGCGGGAAGTAAAGAAAAAATTAAAGCTGGAAACTATCGGGTACATAAGGCATTTAATGAGTTTGCGATCAAAATAAAAATAAAAAGCCTTTAAAAATAAAAATACATTTCGACTAGTGATTAGAACCAATTTTAACCGGTTAAAACCAATTTTGATCACTTGCTAAGTCAAAACAAAAAAGTAGTCTTTTGCCAATCCTGCCTTCTAATTAAATTTGTATTCTCGATTCATTTGTATCCCATCATAGTTCCTTAAATGAAGTATAACTGAACAAGTACCAAAAGTGTTTGAGAACATAAGAGAGAAGCGGAAAAATATAAAAATTAAACTCTTGTCAAGAAATATTACTGCAATACATTGTATTTATTAAAGTTTTACTTTAGCTGCTTCATATTTTACCTTCTTTTTACAAAAACGCTGATTAGAAATTATTAGAAAATCAGACATGAATATATTCAACCAAGATACACATTAATATATACTACTTCTAGACTTTCTCTGTAGATGTGATTGATATGAAAGTGTCATTAATTAATACCATATAATCACGATGTATATGTTAGAAATATTAATAAAGTTTTTAAAAAAACGATGTTATGCAATATTATGCATATACGAAATATATCTCTTAATAATTTTCAATTTACGCAGTGAAAAAATAATACAATATATTATTGAAAATCTAATACAATACCATAAACATATACGAGTAAATTTAATAAAATATTCTTTTTTTTTTATTGATAGGAGGAAAGCATGTTCATAATCATTTATTTTTTTTTTTTTTTTCATTAAAAGTAATCATTGGTTGTTTCAATTGGTATGCCTTTTTTAGCATCTAAAAAAAAATTCTTGAATTTTTATAATTTTGTAATATTTTTTCTACAATTTTAATACGCTTAATATATCTTCAATTTAATTAGTCTAGAGAACTTTTTGAGGATTCAACTTGCTCTCCATTGTTCTATATTTAATGATATGACATTCCGAATGTCCATTGGTAGATTGTTTTTCTTGTGAATTTACTTCCTTGCAACATATAGTACGTTTACACGGCACGCTTTACGCCGAAGTTATAACATCGATGTTATGAAACTGGCCAATCACAGTCATTCCATTCTTCAGAGGAATAGCAATGATTGGTCAGTTTCATAACATCAATGTTATAACTTCGGCGTTAAGCGGGGAGCACAGACTCTTGCATAACGCATAACACGTAATGCATAAGAATATGTACCAATCGAAGTTCTCCGTTTCTTTCCCTTCCATGTAATAGAGAACTCTGGTTGGTACAATTTCTTATGCCTCATGTGTTATGCGTTATGCAAGAGTCTGTGCTCCCCGCTTAAAGGGCTTCACACATGAAATGCATAACAGAGCATAAGCATAACATAAGACTGCTGGACCAATGAGCATCTAGCATAATGTCGCCATATTGATTTACATAAGATGCTCATTGGTTTAGCGGCCTTATGTTATGTTTATGCTCTGTTATGCGTTTCATGTGTGAAGCCCTTAAGGGTATATCCACACAAACCTGCATAGTCGCATAAACGTATGCATAAATAAAATTACCCAATCACATTTTACGTGTGTCTTTATAGGAAATATGCGAATGGATAATTTTCTTTATGCATAAGTTTATGCGGCTACGCAAGTTGTGTGGATATACCCCAAGGCGTGCCATGTAACAGAGGTCGTAGTTCTACAACAAGGTTTCTATGATTTGAGATAAAAACGATCATTAAATTTATATAATAAATAAGAAAATGACTACTTGAAAAAAAAATTTTTTTTTTTCAATTTCACTACATCTTTTAGGCGTCGTCTACAATACACGGAGTAAGAAGTAAGAGTAAGAAATTGACCAATCAGTCGATTATTCTTCTCACATTCGACTGTGATTGGTCAATTTCTTACTCTTACTTCTTAGGGTGATGTCCCATGCAGCGGATCGTGCGTAAGCGGATTCGCGTATCGCCAATCACAGAATCACATGCAGCGGATCGTGCGTAAGCGGATTTCGCAAACAGATCTAAGAGAATGATTCTGTGATTGGCGACACGCGAATCCGCTTACGCACGATCCGCTGCATGGGACATCACCCTAAGAAGTAAGAGTAAGAAATTGACCAATCACAGTCGAATGTGAGAAGAATAATCGACTGATTGGTCAATTTCTTACTCTTACTTCTTACTCCGTGTATTGTAGACG